GTGCAACTCGTGTGGAATTCTTACCCAATGCCTTGGATCTGCAGCTGAGGTTGGGTTCCTGAGTCCTTAGTTTTCACTGTCTGATAAGTAACAATAGTACAAACAGTGCTTCCTGCTCCCATGTCGTAAAACATGATATTCTGAAAAGAAAAGTTGGGACAGTGAAGCAGAAACACCTGGGCATCCCCCCACGAATAAGTAAAGAACCTTTCAGTGTGATACAGGCCCCAGCTACCTACTCCCTGGACTGACTTTATACCCTAAGGGCAGGACTCGTATTTTGACCAAACACGGGTGATGTTCAGAGTCATGTCTGACAGAAGGAGACAAGAAAACTTCTCATCTTTTTCACAGTTCAAAACACAAAGTTTTGTTCTTTCTTCAGCCTCAGGTAAATCAAGTTCTTCTGAGTCGGTGTTCCAATACTTCAGATAATCACTGCTGTTATTTTCCCCAGCTGATGGGCAAGGAACAGGTTTACAAAATGGGAACTCCCAGGACATGCCCTCACCCAGCAGCATTCAGGCTTCACCATACATGCACACAGCATTTAATCTCTTTGTCTTGTGGACAAACACATGAAAACAGAGGGGACTGCTTGACCAGCAGACTCTACTTCAAGTCCTTTGGATTTCTTCTGCAGCACTTTCTCCCCTGCACGCAGGCAACTTGGCAGGACTCTGCATCTCTCAAATGCACCTACCTGTGCCGTGGCATTGATGTCTTTCCTCCTGAAAACCCCGTAGTTCAATGCTACAGCCGTGTTGTCGTTGATCAGCTGCAGCACCTTGAGGTCAGCCATGCGGGCGGCGTGCAGAACTGCTCTCCTCTCTGCCTGGTTGAAGTAGGCAGGAACTGTGATCACTGCATCTTTGATGGGCTGCTCTGAAACAGTTGCAGGGAACTCTGCATCAGTGTAGCCACATGCCAGGACTTGTTGAGAAGGAGTGACAGCAGCAAACCCACAGGACACAAGGTGAAGACTCACACAGAATGAATGCAACCCTGCAGCAGTAGCCAGGATCCCTAGGGACAAATCTCTGTATCCTGCTGAAACCAAGCAGACCTGGCATATTCACACTAAGGAACAAGTCTACTGACCACTCTTTCATGTGTCAGGATACTCTCAAATGCTCTGGGTACCTTCCATTCCAAAAAATACTATTTTCATGGAGCCTCACACCGCCACTGAATCAGTCACTCTCCAGTCTTTGGACTGGCTGTAGTGTCACTGACCACATGACAAAGCCTTCTAGTAATTTATCTGTTTTTCATTACTGTGGTATTTCATTAGCAACACAGCATGAAGCATGCATGACAGCCTCCTCTGTTAGCAAGTCTCACAGCAAAAGGCCATTTTCACTCTTTTAGTTCAGCTCAAACAGCAAGTTTCCATCCAGAACAGGTACAGCACAGCCTTCACAGAGCCATTTCTACCCTCCCCTGCAGCCACATCCTATGTGCCTCCACTCTGATCACACACTTGATAAAGAAAACACTTCACTCTTCTCCACACGCTGCCTGTAAGGCTCCTTCATTGCAAGCCAGGTGATAAACTGAGTGTCTGCCCCCAAGATCCCAAACGTGCATCATATTAGAAACAAAAGATAACTGGATAGCTTCTAAGTCTTGCTTACAGCCTACAGGTAGAAAGAACCAATATCCTGTTTCCAAAAACCTTGGGTTTCTGAACACTTTTGGTCTCTACTCAAATCCTATAGTGTACGAACACACACACATGTAGACAAGAAAAAGCCAAATCCTTCCAACCTGCAAACTCCTCAGCCAGACCACGTGAATAGTTCAGGACCATCCCCAGCATCTCCTCGGGAGAATACCATATCGTTCTGCAACGGGAAAGAAAATGATGGCATCAACAGAGAGTGCAGAAGCCTGGTAGCTGGCGTCCATCCCACAAAGACCCTAAGAGCACCCACTCACGGGGACAACTTGAAGATAACAGTCTGCCTCATCTCATCCTTCAGCAGCTCGTGCTCCGGGAAGCGGGACTGGTACAGGGCCACGTGGGGGTTATCGATCCGCTTACCCAGCAGGTCCTGGAAGTACCGGAATGCCGCCTTGGGCGTCCGTATGGACTGCGGGGAAAAAAACCACATCACCCGCTTGCATTCCTTCAGCTGCGCTGCTGCCAAAGCAATCCCTCCCAGACTGTGTGGGGAACAACTCCTGCTAGGGGAGCAGGAGCACACAGCCACTACACAGAGGCAGCAGCGCATCAAGGAGATGAGCAGGACAACAACAAAACACCGGCTCGGACGTTTGTCACAAGGCGGGATGCACGTGTTCTGCCAACAGGAATTCTTACCTGTTGCTTTGATTTTGTAAGACTTTGTTAAGCCTTCTGATGTTTACATTCTTTCAACAAACTTTCTCACACACAGTTCTGTAAATAACCTATGTTTTGCATTCTTTCATGGAGGTGGAGACAATTGATGGACCCTTGGTCTGTCCAGTGGCATTGGAGAGGTGGCACTGTCACCCTCCAATCCACTGTCACCTTTGGAAAACTATAAATGTTAGAGTCAGAAAATAAAGTTCTCCTCTTCTTCTTCCTTTTTGTTCCCCTCGAGAGCAGCAGTGTCTGTGTCATCATTTCGTGCCGTATCACAACACTTACCATCCCCAGCGCGCCGTCACCAAAGAGACGCTCGTTCTCCTTCAAGGAAACGGCCACGGGCGTTTTCCTTCGTGACTCCCTGCGAACAGAGAGGGAGGAATAAACCAGTGGAAACAGGTGAACATTCCAGCCTCCACTGAAGACTGATCTTGTTCTCATTCCAGAAGGACTAAGGGAAGGTGCTTGGAGAGGGGGGCCAGCCTCTGCTCAGCTGAGGGGCTACCAGACAACCCTCCCTCCCTCCCTCCCACCCCTTCAGTGCTTTGAGGAGACTATTTTTTGCTTTTCTCCACCCATAAGCAAGGTAAGACAGCTCCCTTATTCTATCTAGGACTGCTAAATTTCAGGGAGGTGGGTGAGAAATCTCCTTGTCTGCAGACTCCCAGAAACTGAGGACATTCCTAATCATGTCCGCTCTCACCTGCAGATTCTTCACTCAGTGGCTTGAGGAGGGGCTGCAGCAGCAGCTGAATACAAGAGATTTACCAGTGTTATAAATGCAAGCTTTGAACAGCTGCAGCAAAACAAACCTGGCTCTGGGCTCCCTTAGGGGAACTACGGACCAGGGGACTGGGTGCCCTTTTGGGCTGGCACCACGACGTGTCCTTAACCACGTGGGCTTTTGGCACAGGCTGGACAGGTACCCAGAGCGCACTCGAACACCTTAAAGGTGAGCTAAGCTGCCCTGGAGGATGCCCACCCGGGGCAAGACTGAGGCACAAGCCTGCGTGGGAGGATGGAGCCTTCCTCGGGCACCGGAGCAGCAGGACGGCCGAGCCCCAGCGGCCTCGCTGTCCGCCCGCTGGTGGGGGCCGCAGGCCAGGCCGCAGCCCCGGACCCTCCCGCGGCCGCTCACTTGTTCAGGACGATCTCCATGGGCACTCCAGGCTTCACGATGGCGATCTTCATCGACTCGCTGCCCACGTCCACCGACATCACCGCCACCGGCTCTGCAGACAAACCCTCGGTGAGAGCCTGCTGCTGGCGTGGGCGGCCGAGACCCGCACGGGCCCGGACAGGGCGCTGGGGAGGCCCCCAAGCACCGGCCGCTCCTCCCGCCGCCCCGCCGGCGTCGCGGCCCAGGCAGGGAGCCGCCGCCTCCCCGCACCGTCCCGCACGTACCTGCGGCGGGCACCAAGGAGAAGAGGAGCAGCCAGGGCAGCGCCCAGCCGGGCAACCGCGCCATGCTCTGTGGGCACCGCTCCGCTGGGCTCGGCTGGACTCGGCTCGGCCCGGCTGCACTCGCCCCGTCTCGGCTGGGCTCGGCAGGACTCGGCTGGGCTCGGCAGGACTCGGTTGGGCTCGGCTCGGTCCGGCTGCACTCGCCCCGTCCCGGCTGGGCTCGGCAGGACTCGGCTCGGCCCGGCTGCACTCGCCCCGTCCCGGCTGGGCTCGGCAGGACTCGGCTCGGCCCGGCTGCACTCGCCCCGTCTCGGCTGGGCTCGGCAGGACTCGGCTGGGCTCGGCAGGACTCGGTTGGGCTCGGCTCGGTCCGGCTGCACTCGCCCCGGGGGGGGAGACGAGGCCGCGGGGGGCCGCCCGAGCGGCGCGCGCGCCGGCATCGCGCGTGCGCATGCGCCTCGCGGCAACCGAGGCCCGTGCCACCCGCCTGCACCGTGTGCGTCCCCTGGCGGCCGAGAGGCGCCTCGCGGCCAGGCCGCCGCCAAACCACGCCCCCCGTGTAGACCACGCCCCCGCGTGCGCCCCGGTCCCGCCCCCGCTCGGCTCGGCAGGGGCTGGGCACGGTTCGGGCTGGGCACGGCTCCGGTTCGGCTCCGGTTCGGCTCCGGTTCGGCTCGGGCTGGGCACGGCTCCGGTTCGGCTCGGGCCGGGCACGGCTCCGGTTCGGCTCCGGTTCGGCTCGGGCTGGGCACGGCTCCGGTTCGGCTCGGGTTGGGCACGCCTCGGGCTGGGCACGGCTCCGGTTCGGCTAGGGCCGGGCACGGCTCCGGTTCGGCTCGGGCTGGGCACGGTTCGGGCTGGGCACGGCTCCGGTTCAGCTCCGGTTCGGCTCGGGCTGGGCGCGGTGCATCCCCAGACCCCGCCCTCTTCCGGGCTCCGCCCCTCCCGTGCCGCCGTTCCGGTCGCTGCCCGCCGGTGTCCCCTGCCCTGCCCGCGGTCCCCACGCTCGGTGCCGTGCCCTTGGCTCGCTCCCGGTGCCCCCAGGCAGGCCCCGGTGTGCCGGTGCCGTGCTGCCGGTGCGGAGCCCACGCAGGAGGGACAGCCTCGTTCATGAAATGCTTTATGACCGCGCCGCCCGCGCCGCCACCCCCGTCCGGCCCCACACCGGGGGACAGCGCTCTGAAATTACAAAAGGTTCACAGAAGGGTCTGTGGGCTGTCCCGGGCAGCCCGTGGCCTCTCCTTCCCTGGAACACCACGGCACCAGCACCAGCCCCAAGGCACACGGCTCGGGCCCCGCCGGCTCTTTGGCAGCTTTTTACATTTCAGCACTTTGATGTTGTTCCAATAAAGTTTGTTTCTAGAAAGTCAACATAAAAAAACTCATTCCCTTGCCTGGACAGGCAACACTCAGGGCCACCCAGCTGCGCCCAATGCAGGTGCACGACCTCGGTGTGCACAGCCCTTGGCACGAGGCAGTGCAGGGACCCTGGTCCCCCCAGGAGCTCCGGGCTGCTTGGGATGCTCCCAAGTCCATGCAGCTGGCGGATGTGGGATGCACAGCACGGCCCTCAGTTCATGAACTGGGTGTAGCCCTCTGCCCCGGTGACAATGACGTCCATCCAGATGCGCATGGCCTCGGCTGACGGTGCCACCATGAAGTAGAGTCGGTCGTGGGTCTTGACACAGAAAGTGAGCGCAGGGTTGGGGCTCTGGAGGGGAGCATGAAATCAGCACTCTGCTCCCCTCTGAGCAGCACTAATCCCCTCCCGGTCCCTCACAAAGCCCAGCACTGGGGTCCTGCTCTTGGTGCCCTCAAGCTGGCACCGTCGGGGGCCACAGACCATTCCAGGAGCATCCCTGGCACGCGCTGCCCTGCTGCCTCAGAGAGCGTGACAGAGGACAGGGAACGGGACCGGCAGAGGGCTGCCAGCACGCCCCCAGCAGCGGCGGGGCCCAGCTCTCACCTTTGCAGCACTGCGGAGGTGGTCGTAGTAAACCTCTTCAATGGCTTGGAAGTAGATAACACCCTTCAGCTTTGTCTCATGTTTATCTGCCCGAGAGAGGGAACCGCTGTTGGCCGTGGGTGACGGCGCGGGGAGGGGACGGGGGCGGCCTCGGGACTCACCCACGAAGTAGGAGAGGGTGCGCTTCATGCGGTCAAAGACAAACCAGCGCTTCTTCCAGGACTTGATCTTCCCGCCCATCTTCACCAGGTAGCCCTTGCACATCTTCTCTGTCAGGATGATGTGGTAGCAGGTGTCGACGCTGTGGCCCGAGGACTCGATGTGCAGCCGCAGGTTGAAATCCTCCTTGCGGATGGGGAGGTACCGTGTCAGGGGACGAGCCTGCAAAAGCAACACAGCCCTGCACAGGCCACCCGTGGTGACACGAGCCCCGTCCCTCCGCTGCCAGCCGGGCGTGCCTCAGCGTCCAGGCTGAGCGGGGCACGGCAGCGCACCTGTGAGAAGTGCTTCTCCCGCAGTTTGACCTCCTTCTCCACCAGCTTCTGCCGCCGCGCGGTCTCGTCCTGCAGGCGCCGTTCCAGCTGCTCCCGCCGCCAGCGCTCGTCCTCCAGCGCCTGCTGACGCAGCTCCATCTCCCGCTCCTGCCAGCAGGCACGGCACTCAGCCCCGAGGACTGCAGGCCTGCTTGCCACCCAGCCACGGTGCTGGTGCCCCCACTCACCCGGGACTCCATCAACCGCGACTTCTCCTCGTGCGCCTCCTTCAGCATCTTCTCCATCTCCTCAATCTTCCCTGTCTCCATCCCGCTGGCACTGCACAACAGCCACAGCTGCTGCCCCAGCAGGAAGCACCCTGAGCCAGCAGCATCCCAGCAGAGCAGGCTGTGCCCTGGCCACAGAGCTGGCCCCAGGATTACCTGGAGATGTTGTCAGGTGAGCAGGCAGAGTTGTTGCCGATGGAGATGCTGGTGTCCATGCTGTCTGAGCTCTCCAAGCTGAGGGTGTCATATGCATGGTCCAGCTCCTCAGCGCGGGGCCCGGCGCCATGGGGACGGCTGTGGTGGAGGATGGAGTGGTGCACAAGCCGGGGGAAGGCAGTGGGGAAGGGGGGCTGCCCGTGCAGGGCTTCCCACTGGGACTGCGCCTCAGCAGCTGCCTTCTGCTTCAGCTCTGCGAGCCGCCGCTTCTGCTCCTCGATCACCTGCCGACCTGGGCCACGGCAAGATGACAGCATCAAGTCAAATGCGCCACATTCAGAGCCACATCATGGTGGGCGAGGGGGTGGCACAGGCAGAAGACACGACAGGCACTGCTGGAACCACCAAGGCACGGTAGGGGCAGAGGTGGGAGCTGCTGTCACAGCGCTCTGGCAAGCACTGCAACCTGTCTGGGCAGGAGCAGGGGGCACATGCGCCAGGCTGGCAAGGAACGAGTAGGGCAAAGCATTAGCAGGCTGGGGATGCACAGGGTTGTCTCTAAGCAGATGTTGAGATGCACCTGGGGTCCTGGACTGGTCATGCCCCTCTTATGTATGGCAGAAGGTGCCAGCCAACAGCCATGCTGCTGCCTCTGGGCTGCTCTAGGCAGTCCAAGTCAACCCACGTCTCTACCTGGTAGATTGCCTGGCTGCAAGGGCTCTGCTGGGAGCAGCTTGGCTGCAGATGGGCCATCAGGTGGAGGGGTCAGGAGGAAAGAGAGGGGGGAAAAGCAAGACTGTGAGAGAGGCACTGCATCCTGCCAGAGCACTGCTGCTGTCACCACCCTCGGCCAGGCGCCCTTCTCCACTGCCCAAGTGGCAGCGGGGATAGCATCTCCCAAAGTCCCAGCACCCCACAGAGCCAGGACAGGAGCCAGAGCTCACCCTTCTGCTGCAGGGCCAGCTGGCGCTTGGTCTCGATGTCCTGCAGCGTGGCCACCAGGTTGCGGGACAGGCTGCCCGCCGGGCTGGGGGGGCCCTGGGCAGGACAGCAGGTGGTCAGCTGCAAGGATGGGGATGGGGATGGCACCAGGCAGGTGAGGGCCAGGGCCAGGGAGCCTGGGTCCCCCTGGCAGCCATACCTTGGGGGAGGGACTGCGCTCCAGCACGGAGAGGTTGAGCTGTGAGGACGAAGGGGTCCCACTCTTCATCCGAGGGGTGAGGGCACCAGCACCACCCTCTGCTTTGGCACGATAGACCTGAGCACAGACACAGACATGAGAGACACATGGGGAAACTGCAGAAGTCCCCCTGGACAGATGGCTCCCCAGATCCTGCTCTGTGTCGGTGCCATCCTGGCAAAGGGATGCAGCCCAAGAGGAGGCAGAGACTGCCCACCCCAGGCCACAGGTCTGCTCTGACTTTGCCTGCTGTGGCAGCCAGAGCCCCAGCAGCACTCAGGGTACAGGGTCCACAGGAACATCCCCACACTGCCCCACTTCTGCCACAACCAGCGGCCCCAAAGCCTGAGCCTGGGCAGCACAGAGCCAGGATTACCTGAAGAGCCTGGTGAGAGGAGTGAGCTTTAGCTGGAAGTGGAGGAGGGGAAGAAGGAGGAGAGACAGAGGAAGAGGAGGTCTCACAGCCAGCCATAACCTCCTGGTACCACTTCTCTAAATCAAGAGCTGGGGGACACACAGGTCCTCCCAACAGCTGCTGCTCCATCTGGAGAGAGAGGCTGCGTGAGAAAGGATGAAGGACAAATGCAGCAGGGGGGACAGATGCACAGAGAAGAGGTCGAAGCATTCCTGCCTATGCCTGCACCACTCCCCCAGAACTTAACAACTTAACATGCAGACCCCTGGAAGACCTGTGCACTCCCTGGCTAAGTCCCAGCAGCTGTAGGAGCCATTTGCTGCTCAAGAGAATGTGAGAACTGATCAAGCACAAAGACCCCTGCCCTGGGGGCAGTGGAGCAGCAGGCAGGACAGCCAAGGGTGTGCAGGGTGTCAAGAGCCCGAGCTGCTGCTCAGCTCCATCTGCAGCTCACCCCTTCCCGTGCATCTCCATCACCTCCCAGGGAGAGTACAGGGGGCCAAATGGAGGGAAACAGGGCACCAACCTCTGCAGAGATGAAGGGAGAAGGGAGAGATGGAAGAGGAGGAAGAGGAGGAGCACAGCCTGAGGATGAAGGAGCCGGAGGGGTACAGCCCAGCAGGGAAGCAGCAGGGGTGTGGAGGCTGCCCAGGATACCCGAGAGCTGCTCCACGGTCACATACTGGGCAGAGAGAAGCAGATTGAACCAGGGTAAGAGCGAGGGCAAGCAGGCACGGAGGAATGAGCAGGCAGCTCCAACCCCCACAGGAAGGTTCACTGTCCTGGGAGGAAGAGCAGCTGGTGCTGCAGCCACCCTGCTGCTGGGCACTGGCTCAGGCCTGCTCTGATCCTCCTCGCTCGAGGCCAGCACCCAACAAACAAAGGGCTGCCCCTCCCACTGCTGGGCACCCCCTCTGCTCCCCCCGGCCACTGCACCCAGAGCAGGCAAGAAGGGCACCCCAGCCAGGAGACTGGGCAGCTGGAGCCTCTGCTCCCCACTCAGCTGCAGCCACACAAGCGTCCTGACCCCAGAGATGTGGGCTCCCGGCCCCAGGGCACGCAGGGGCAGCTGGCTCCCTCCTGGGATGCAGCGGGCGACCCGCGGGAGCAGACCCGAGCATGCTCTGGGCAGGTACCTCGTTGGCTGTGGGAGCTACAGCAAGCAAGAAAGAGCGCTGAGCGGCAGCAGGGGCAGCAGCAGAAGCTTTAGTGTCCAGGCTGGGGCCATGTGCATTACTGCAGAACCTGAAAACGTCAGACAGCCTCATGTACTCCTAGAAATCCACGGCAAGGGAGAAGGAGAAGAGTTAGACCCGTGTGCTGGCATTGTGGCACTGACTGCACAGTGGAGCAAACCTCCCTGTGCATTCCTGCCCCAACACTGCCTCCCAGCCCTGCCCTGCTGCCCGTGGTGCCCCCAAGCACCTTGGGGTGCTCAAGCTGGGCTGGGTGTGCTGGCACCCATCTTGCTCCAGCCTTCAGTGCAGCTTTGCTGAACGCCTTCGAGGGGCAGGGATGCCTCAGGGTCCTCCACAGACACTGGCCACAAATCCTCCCTAGTGCAGCAGCACTGGATGAGGCACCTCGAGCTGTGCTGACCCAACTTAAAATCCACTTCCTCATCCTTTCTGAACCAAATGTGCTAAGCTGGGGACCTGCTCTTATTTTGGGAAAGCCATGCTAGCAGGACCCTACAGGATGCTGTCAGGAGGTGCCCAGCCAGATGGCAAGCTATGAGCAAGGGGGAGACCACTGCACCAGGGTTAAAACAGGGGGCAGCAGCAGGAACTGGGCTGCCCAGCGGGCTCAGGAGAGCGCCTGGAATCGGGGACTGAGTGTTAATGAGCACGGCTGCCAGAGATCTGTATGATAAATGCTCCAGCCATGCTGCTGTGGGGCTGCCCTGCTGCCTGGGGGTGACATCAGTCCACAAAAGGGGTGTCTGCCGGGGGAGTAAGTGAGCAAGCACATGCAGCTAATCCCTCTAGTTAGTTACCTCTTGTGCCTTGGGGTAGGAGTAGGTGGCAGGAGAAGCTAAGGAGGCAGCTGCTGCTGGCAGGGGACTCAGGGGCTTAGTTCCCTCCAACAGCTCATAAGGTTCAGAGATGTGGAGGGTCTCCTGTTGAAGGGTAAAGGTTGCGTAGGCAAGGTGGGCACAGATAGCAAGGTGGCAGCAGCAGGAGTCCCACTGCAGGCAGGCACGAGGGGACTCTGCCATCTTGTGCCTCTACCAGCAGCAGGTAAGGCAGTACCACAGCCCCTGAGGGCATCGTGGTTCTGGCTCCCCATTCAGAGCCATAAGCAAGGTAATGGGACAATTCACTTCCACCTAAAAGTCCCCTGGACCAGCACCAAGACATCCCCATGCGTGCTCTCCAGCAACGATGGGACCCTAGGCAATCCTGTCCCATGTGCTGCTCTGTTGCATTTCCCCTTCCTCCCTCCCAACCTCTGCAGCCCGTGGAGAGACTGAGCAGCTGGAAGCACCTGGCTCTGGTCAGAAGGTACTTGGGAACACAGGAACTGCTGCAGAGCAAAGCTGCTGGTGCACAAGGCTCATCCTCACTGATGGCTGCAGCTTAGGAGAGCAGCTCTAAGCACCACAGCCTCCTCTACCCACTTACCTCCCGGAGAGCTGAGGACATTTTTGGGAAGCTCCTGCCACCTGTGACAAGCTGGTATCGCCTCTCCAGAGACACGAGCTTCTCCTTCTCCTGCGCATGGAGTGACAGGTCAGAGGCAGCTGATGGCTCCTGGCACCCCGTGGCCAGTCACCCCCCAAGCTCTCCCTGCCTGCCAGCAACCTGTCAAGAGCTGGCAGGCCCTTGTCCCCGGCCTCAGGGGCCCACAGTCACGGCATTACCTTCTGCAGGAGCTGCAGGACGCTGCTGCGCTCCCTGGCCAGGCGCTCGGCCTCCTGGGCACTCTGCAGCCGGATCTGCGCAGCCTGGGCGTCCAGGGCAGCCACCCGCTCCTGGGGAGCAGGCAGCAGAGATGAGCTGGTGCTGCTGAGCCATGGCACGCAGCCTGGCCGTGCCCGACCCGCGGCACAGCCCAGCCTCATGGAGTCCTGCCGGCCGTCCCCACCTTCCTGCGGGCGATGCTCCGGTGGCACTCAGCCCGGCTCTGCAGGAGCTGCTGGCCTCGCGCCTCACGCTCCTCTTCCAGGTGGCTCTCTCGCTCCAGCTGCTGGAACTCCAGGTCCTCAAACAGCTTGGCCTCCGTCTCCAGTGCCTCTGCCTCCTTTGAACGCACAAGAGCACTGTGAGTGCATCTGACCCACTGGACGGGCACCTCCGCGTCCTGCAGGCAGGTCTCCCACAGCAAAACCTCCTGCGTGCCTCCACATCCTCCTGGTGCTGGCCAGGAACAAGAGCTGGTGGCCAAGCCTGTCCTCTGTGCCCAGTGTGGGCAGGCAGGCAGTTTTGCCTTCTGCTGGGCATCAGAAACACAAGAGATACTGAGAGGAGTGTCTGCCATCAGAAGAAGGCAATGGAGGCACCCAGAACTGGCCAGCACAGAGCAGTCACCCCATGAGATGAGCTTGTCACAGCCAGGGGCTTCACCAGCCCTCGGAGACCAGCTGTCCCTGCTGAACCACGAATGGGCTAAAGCCGTGCCCTGACAGGTCACAAAACACCATGTGCCAGCGTAACCACCAACAGCCACACTGTGTCACCAAGCCTGCAGGTGGCAAAGCCCCAGCAGACAAGCACCATGCTGGACAAACTCCTGTGTGTCATTCCAGCCTTCATGCACCGACAGCACATGGCAGCACTCAGCTCTGGGCCTGCCAGTGCCACCCTGGCAGCCACTGTGCCATGCAGCCCACGGGGATGTGTTTCACCCTGCTCCGTGAGACGGGCAGCCAGTGACACAGCACTGATGTGGTGCCTCTGAGGGCTCCCACACGCAGACACTGCTCCATCACCCCCCTGCCCACTCTACACCAGACCCTCATCCAGAATGTGAGTGCCTGGCTGGAGCAGGCTGTGGCAATGTGGGTGTATCTGAGCAGGCACTAGCCATGGGCTGGGGAAAAGTCAACCACTTCCAGAAAATACCAGGTAATAGGAAAAAATGCTGAGGACTAGCAGTAACAGGGATCAACGTCACTGTGTAAATAAACATTCTCAGGAAACAGCTGGAGGCAGCCAGATGAGGATGCAGCAGCCCCCAAGACTCCCCAGCCTGCCCTCCTCGGCAGGGTCCATGCTGGTGCCCTGCCGGTCCCGAGGAGCTGTGCGGGTCCCGAGGAGCTCTGCCCAGCCGGGCCCGGGCGAGCGGCAAGCTTACCAGGACGATGGTGCCCGGTGCCAGCCGCCTCCAGCCCGGGTGCGACGCTCCCAGTGCGGCCCCGGCTGGCAGGGAAGAGCTGGCCTAAGCTGGAGCGGAGGGAGGTGGGCCATGGTCCGGGAGGGGTGGGGGGAGACACTGACCCTTCGCATCTGCTCCTGCAATTGCTCCCGCATTGACTCGGGGCACTTATCAAGGTGGCTCTTCGACTCATGGTAAAGCGCCTGGAGTTGCTCTAGCTCCTTCCTTTCAGCATCAACCTTTGCCCTTTCCTGAATCAGGGGAGAACAAGACAAAACAAAAAGAAAAGAAAAAGGGGAAAAAAAAAAAAGAAGACACACTTCTCAAATGGGCGCCATGCAGAAGCTGTGAGTTAGAGAGGGGCTCAGCTGGAGGCACAGGGGGCTCAGGAGAAGGGGCGTCATGGCAGCTACATGCCATGTACAGGGGGATCGAGAGATCAAGAGACACGGGAGCTGGCCAAGCAGTGTTAGAGGAGTTAAAGCCAGCCCCTGACCTCAGCTTTGTGCTTCCAAGAACAAACTTGCAGGCAGCAAAAAGATCAACTGATAGCATGGTTCAAGTCATCCCAATCCTGCACAGGCTGCATCACAATAACCACTAACGGGCTTTCTTAACTGCTACCAGTTGGGAACTGCAGGTCCTGAATGCAGCCTGGGGTCATGGACCACCCTCAGCCATCAGAAGGAGAGGGCAGCACCGGGCAGCAGTGAAAACAGGAGGCTGTGGTCCAGCAAGAGATGCTCAGGCTATGATGAGTCAGCAGCAGAGCAGACACTGACTCCTGGACCTGGGATGAGGGGCCTGGCCACAGGAGCAGTAAAATGGGGCCAGGAACATGGGACTGGCAGAGGGGAACCACCCACAGGTTTGGTGGTACCCTACAGGGGCTTGGCATTGAGAAATGCTTGCTGCAAGGAACCCTGTGCTCCACACAGAGATGGGACATCATGACAAGGGCTATGAGGGGACTTGCTGCCAGGGAGGCAAGGCTGGTACAGGCAGATGCCCCAAGAGAGGAGCTGTGGATTGCCTGGGGGCTCCTGGACATGCAGAAATGTCAGAGGTGGTGGCAGAGTTCAGAGCAGGCACCGTTAGTGTGAGTAGTGCAGATGGGTTAGAAAAGTGGGTGGTTAGGTCAGCAGAGAGGCTGGGAGAGGGCTTTCCCTGCGCTCCTCTCCTGGCTCTGCATGAGGCTGTCCCTGGCTACAGAAGATGCCTACAAAGGGCTGGAAGACCAAAACCAGGACAAAAACCCCAAATGCTGTAGGAGCACCACTGGGAGGCACCAATGGCCACTCTGCCAGGCCACAGGCACCCCAACAGCCCTGGGGCTGGCCAGACCCCAAGGGACATTGATGGCACATGACAGTGGCACGGAGCTGCTGGTGGGACCTTGGCATAGGCTGCACAGGGACAATGGCCTCAGGCAGCAGAGAACCAGATCCCAGCAGCTCTCCCTTCGACAAGGCCATGCCACACTGCCTGCAAGGCTGTGGGACAGCCAGCATCCAGCAGCTGGCACAAACATGCCACACACGCAGCTCGTGGGTGCCTTCAGGCAGTAACTGCACCACAGGCGACGTTGGGGATGGGGGCCAGGACCCCTCCCAAAGCCACCACGCCGAACACCTGCAGTGGTTTCCCAGCCACCTCCAGCAGGCCGAACACCACAGCAACAGCTGCCATCACACACAAAGGCGCAGCAGAGGAGGTGACCTGCTGCAAGACGCAGTCCCCTAGCGAGGACAGGTAACAGGGAGAGCCGAGGCCTCTGCTTCGGCACTGCCCGCGCAGGCAGCAGCCATCTGGAAAGCCTCACGCCTCAGTCTCCCCGCCAGAGCAACAGGCAGCAGCTGAAATGCTCCCAGAGCACTGGCTGTGCTCTCCTCCAGCAGGGCTGTTTGACCAAGCCCAGACAGACAGACAGACAGATCCCCCCAAAATGCAAACCACAGCGGCTGCTCCCCAAAGCCTCTGGGGAGCCCAGGGTCTGGAGAACATGTCCACAGGGGAACGCTGCAGCATGAGGCATTGCAGCACTGGCTGTGAGTGCCACGGAGGGTATGGCACAGCTGGTGACGATGGGAACCTGTGACTGGGCTCACCTTGTCCCGCTCCTTGCGGATGCTGGCGTCCAGGCTGGAGAGCTTCTCCTGCAGCTGCTGCGCTGCCTCCTGCTCCTGCCGCAGCCGCAGCACCTCCGACTCCCGCTCACCCTGCAGCAGCGCCCGCTCCATCTCTGCCTGGACAGCCAAAGCCTCTCAGGATTGCTGCTCCAGCTGCATCTAGCTCATACCCTTAGGATTTAGCGCTAACTGGTGAGGGCAGCAAGCAGCAGGGGACCCACCAGTGTCCCCTGACCTCTCACCTCTCGCGATGTCTCCTGCAGCTGCTGCTCCAGCTCCTTGACACGACCCTTCAGCTGGTCCAGGCGTCCCAGGACACCGGCACGCTCCTCCTCCAGCCGCTGTGCCTCCTTGGCCCGGGGGCCTGTCAGCTTCTCGTGCTGTGGAAAGGGCTGATTGGCATGGCACAGTGCAGCACGGCACGGTAACAGAATGGCACCAATGTCCCCTTACCTCGTGGTGGGTACTCTCAGTGCTGCTGCACTCCTCCTTCAGGTTCTCCTCATCCGACCTCTCCACGCTCTCCCTCTGCTGCAGCTCTTCAGCAGCATGGCCCAGAGCCGTGGCACCCCTGGGCACCCACTGGCCAACATCTGTGTCACCAGCCAGGAGCCTGTGCACGTCAGCAGGCTCAGCGCCGTCTGTCTTGGTGTACTCAGCACAGAGGTTCAGGATGGTCTCCAGGCGCTGCCGCTCCTGTAAGGAAGAGCAGTCCACATCCAGCACGCGCTGCGGCAGGAGCGGGCACAACCCCGTGCCAACGGTGCCCACCAGAATGCGGGCCCGCACGCTGGGATGGGCAGGCAGCATTACAAAGCACAACGCAGCCGGCTCGACCCCACAGCCCAGCCAGGCACGCGATGTGCTGGGAGCCGGAGCTGGGCTGATTGCAGGCGAGCGCCGCCGCTATTTCCAGGCGGTGACTCAGGCTGCCCGCGCCAGGCGTGAGTCAGGCTGAGCAAACACGGCCCGCCGGCTCGGCCCGCAGGACTGGCGGAGACCCGGCAAGCCTCATCCAGATGCCAGTTCCATAAAAACTCCACCAGCCCTAAATATAGATGCAATGTCCACAGAGCCACGGCACCACCAGCAGCAGATGGGCCCGGGCAGGGACAGACAAGATGTGGAGGGTTTTGCAAAGGAAGGAGTGCCACCATTTTGGCCAGTAGCCATGGGGCCATGCCAGCCCCACCAGCTTCCACAGGCTGCTGTGATTTGGGGGCTTTGTATTTCCAGAGAGCTGCTGAGCACCGATGGCTGCTCCTGGCCATAATCCCCCTGGGTAAGCCAACAGCCTGACAGCTGTGGTAAATCCCCAAGAGGCAAAGGCCAGGTTTCAAAGCAGCAAACAACAACAGCTATTTGCAAAGAGGGTGTCCCACACTCAAACGTGTCCCCCCGCAGCCCCAAGGCTCACCAGGCGCTCCATCTCCTGCTCCCGGACCCGCTCCTGCCGCTGCCGCCGATGGTACTCCAGCAGCTCGTCCTCGTTGTCGCTGATCTCAGTGATGCTGTTCTTGCGCTCCCGTGACCCCGCTGGCAGCCGTGGGTCCCCCAAAGGCTTCCTGGGGGCGCGGGGGCTCTGCCGGGGCGAGGGCACAGCTGGGGAGCCCAGCCCGTACGTTGGGCTCAGGCAGGTACCGAAACTGGGCCGGCGCGTGGGGTTCTCCGACAGCAGCGGGGGTGAAGGACCCCCAGCGCCTTTCGACTCCTCCAGGCCCTTGCGCCTGGCACGGGGACTGCCAGGCACTTCCCTGCCCAGCCGGGGCTGCGGCGAGGGGGTGTCAGGGGCCAGCCGGGGGCTGGCAGCCCGGCGTGCCAAGGAGGGACTCAGGGGAGGCAGCTCCCGCATGCTCTCCATGTTCCTCCGGGCCACCCGTGGGCTCTCGGGGGGCTGCAGCCGGGCCTCTGGGACCGCCCTGCCGGTGGGCTGCCGGCTGGGGGCCGCAGAGTCCCGTGGCTCCCGGAAGGGACTGGGGGGCCGCTCCTGCAGGGCCACCCGTGGCCGCGGCGCCGCCCTGGGCGTCAGCCGGGGGCTGCCCACCCGCTGGTCCCCAAGCCTCTCAGCCGGCCAAGGCTCACTAGAAGGCCCAGCAGGCAGGGCGGGCGGCTGGACAGTGTGGTTGTAGCTGGAGGAGCGGAGCGGGAGAGGGGGCGGCACGGCTGGGCCTTGCTCTTGGCTGCTGAGCGAGGGGCTGGTGTAGCTACTGCTGCTGGCTGGGGAGGACAGGGGAGAGAAGTTCTCATAGCTGGAGCCCCCCGAAGCGGCCCCAGGGCTGGGCGGGGGGGACAGGAGGCAGCGCCCACCCCCATTCACCACGGGGGAGAGGGGGGATCGGCCGCAGGCAGGCGGCTTCTGGATGCCAGGGGCTGCAGACTCCTCCAGCACCAGCGAGTCCATGATGTCCTGCAGGTCCTTCTCGATGGAGCTGACAAGGGAGCTGTGGCTGTAACACCCACGCTCTGACAGCTGGTGGCCACCATTCACCAGGGCCTCGGATTCTGCAGGGAAACAAAGGAGAAGGCATCAGCGTGGTGTGACTCCGCCGCAGCCCCTGCCTGGGCTGAGTCCAACGGGGCAGCCTGGCATGGTCCTTACATGCAGCCTTGCAGAGTCAGAGCTGGGTCGCAGCCCCTCTCTGCTGCACCCCGCTGCCACCCTTTCCACTCCAGCTGGGGAGTGGGGCAGGGAGCAGGCTGGAATCCCGCTAGCCCCATCACCCAGGAGACAGAAACCTGAGAGGACAGCTGCCCTCCCTGCGTCGCAGCTCCCTGCTCCACTCTCTGGAGAGCAGCTGCCCTCACCCCCCTGGCACCCACCACCCCTGCACACTCTGGCTTCCCAGCAAGGGGTCAGAGGTGCAATAGCCAAAGGCTGCTGACCTGCAGCACGTCCAGACCCACCACCACGTCGCCCTCAGCCTCTCCACACCCTGGCCAGGGTGCCCCTGCCTGGGCCGCCCCGTGCTCCCGGCGCAGCACCGATGTGCCTGTCACTCAGGGAACAGCGAATGGCAGCAGGCACGGAGCCCAGCCAGGACAGCGTGCCACCCGGGCTGCGTCACCCCCTGGCACCCAGCAGCTCCCCCACGGCAGCTGGCACTGCCTTCGGGCCTGGAAAGATGTGCCACAGCCCTGTCAGTGTGATCCCACCCAGTCCCGCGTGGCAGAGTGAGCATGCAGGGCCCACAGGGATGCTGCATGGCTGCATGATGCTCCTCAGCCACAGCACCTCCCCGTGTCCCTCCTCCCGTCCCCCAGCTGCAGGCATGCTGCCTTCCCAACACACACGTGGCACGGGAAGGCAGCCAAGCTCCTCTCCCTGTGCCAGGGTGTGCTGGTTGGGGCAGGGATAAAGGCTACCAGCCCAGGGATCAGTGCTGGAGATTTGGACATCCCTGGGAGCCAGACACGGTACTGGCACCTGGCCCACTGCCCCACGGACAGGCAGACACAGCAAGATAAGCTCATGAGATGAAGGGCAGCAGCCAGAAAGGCCTTCACAGCCCCAGCACAGCCACTCCAGCACACAAACACCGCCTCCAAGCAGCGGGGGGGCTCCGACGGGCGATGGCTCTGCCATGGCCAGGCTGGGCAGAAGTGAAAGCCATGCCTCAGTGCCCCCACAGTCCACCCCTTGGAGGTGATATTAATCATTAACAAATACCAGTGCAGCTGCCACAGCGGGCTGAGCTGACGGATGGCACCCCACAGCCGGGTGTGAGCCTGAGTGCAACAGGACAGGGCTGGGAGAGCACTGGGCTGATGGGTCAGGGAGTGCTTCAGCATCTGCCCTGCCCTGCCTGGGACAAGGGAGGGTCACCTACTTGCTGGCAGCCCGTAGAGAGCCGATGGGCTTCTGCCCCCCGCTGGGATCATGCTCTTAATCCACTTGGCCTCAGCAGGGTGGTTGAAGCGGAGGAAGGTGGCCTGGCCCAGGCAGATGGTGCACCCTTGGGAGAGAGGAGAGAGGGTTCAGATGCCAGCCGACAATATCAGAGCAGCTCCGGAGAGTGCAGGGAGGCAGTCGGGCACTGCTCGCCCAAAGATGCGCCCTGGGGAAGGCAGCGGGCTCCTGCTGTCAGCAGAGGCTTAGGGGGAGGCTGGAATCCAGGTCACTCTGCAGCAGCTGCCGGCAGCGCATCCCGGGCGCAGGCACAGCTGGGGTCCCCGCCGGGGGCCGCGGGGGAGCTGGCGGCACTCCAGGGTTTGCGTGGCTGCCAGCTGCAGACAAGACAGCTCCTGTCCCTGCTTGCAAAGCGTCTCTTCTTGGCCCAAAGCAGCAGCCCTCTTGGGGCAAGGCTGCCGAGCAGCCCGAGGAGGAAGGCAGCTCAGGAAGGGAAGGGGAGCGCAGCCGTGGGCGCTCACCTGCTGCCCGTGGCGCTGGGGAGGCATGTGCTGGCAGCGGGGAGCATCAGGCGGCTTGAAGGCGGCTTGCTGCCGACACACCCCACTTTGAAGCGCCTGCCAGGGCTCTGGGGAGAGGCTCGCTCCATACCAACAGCCGCTGCTGAAAATCCCTCGCCGGAGGGGACATGTTTTATGGAGCACCCGTCAGCCCAGCTCGCAGCAAGGAGAGCGAGAGGCACTACAGACTAACAGCTATCGCCGTCGCAGGGGCCTGTTTCTCCTGTCTAAGCAACAGGGCGGGACGGAGTCCTGCTCACCCCGGCTCAGCGAGGGCATCCTGCCTGCCAGGGAGCAGTGCCGACGCCCAGCCTGGCAGCGGCTGTGCCGGAGAGATGCAGCACTGCCCTGTGCCTTCCTTCCCCACGTGCCGGCACCAGTGGAGCCACAGGTCGCCCCGGCAAAGCGAGTAATCACCAACCTGCACCACGAGCATCGGCCTGACAGCCCCGCAGCTCAGTCCGCTGTGGCCTGCACAGATGCCGTCCCTGCTCCGCCACGTCCCTGCCTGCCCCCGGGGACAGCAGGATGGGCAGCTCGGCTGACCCCGGCCCGCACCCCGCACCTACCGTGGCCCTCGCTGCCTGCTGCGGCACCGGCGAGACCCGCGGGCCGGAGCCTCCTCCGGCGGCCACGTGGCTCCCATTGTCCCCGGGGGGCGCCCGCGGCAGCGCCCACGCGGGTGGGTCCCCCCTTCCCGGGAGCGACCGGGGCAGGCGCGGGGGGACCGCGGCGACAGCGCCTGCGGGGGCACGATGGCTCCGTGCCCCGCGGAGCAGCGGGAGCGAGCCCCGCCCGGCGCGGACACGCGTGGCCGCGGCACCGCACTCACCTCGCCCCGCCGCCGCCGCCCCCCGGGGAGGGACGGGGGGCCGGGCCTCGCCCGCCCCGCCCGAGGGTCCTCCCCGGGAGGCGAGACGGGAGCTGTGGAGGGCGGGGATCGCGGGGAAGGGCCTGAGGCTTTGTCCGCGCTCCCTGGGAGCGGCCCGGGGGGGCGGCCGGGTCCGAGCCCCGCAGCCACGCAGGCAGAGCAGCGGTGTCCCGGCAGCCACCCGCCGGGAGGACACTGGGGTGTTTTCCTTCGTCATCTCCCTTCCCAAAGCTGGCTCAGCATCTCCGCTGTTCCTCAAAGCCCGCCCGGGTCTCTCCCTTCCCCACCGCACTTGACACACGCAGCAAAGCCAGCTCTCAAACCGTGCCAGGAGCTGGCAGGTTCCCACCGCACAGCATGGAGGCCAGGAGTACGCTGGCTGGCATATGCAGTTACTGGATGGCTCCTCAAACACCCCAATACCCAACGGCACAACTCCACAGGCAAAGGTTCTGGTGAACCACGGCCTGCTCCTACCTTGGCTGAGGTGCGTGGGCCGCTGGAGCGGCACGCCGTCGATGGCACAGGCGTTGCCACAGGGGTGCAGGGTGAGTGTCCCTCGCACGTTCTCGATGTAGCAGTGCTGGGGGGCCAGCCCGGGGCCCTGCAGGACGATGTCTGTCGCAGCCGTGCCAATGGTGGTCCTCCCTGCCAGCAGAGAGGGCGTCTCAGTGTCCCTGTCACCAGCGCGCCCATGGAGACCCCCGGCACTCACCTTCCTCCAGGGGCAGGAGTGTGATGGCAGTGCTGAGCCGCCCGCTGCCCAGGCTCACCAAATGCGGCTTCTCTGTCTGCACTTTCAGCCCCTTGCCTGTGTCGATCAGGTCCAGGGGGCTGTTCTGTAGGAGGAGAGGGAGGGATGCTCACAGCCCTGCAGCTGCAGCCCAGTCCCCTGCACTGCCCACCTGGCTGAGCTGCTCCAAAGCAGCCAGGATCAATGCCCAGGCACAGCCACATGCCAGCAGGACTGTCCAGCAGCAAGACGCAGCAGGGGAGGGCTCTCCTGCCTGTGCTACCTATCCCGGGAAGCTGAGGCGAGCTGCCACGGGAGCTGGAGATCCATGGGGCTTGGGCTGCATCTAAGAGGATCCCAGCTGCAGCCGCTTAGCTGAATGGGCTTTGCTGGGGATCCCGTAATAGGATTGGCTGAGGCAGGCTGCAGAGGTGGACTCCAGCCAGATCCCCCTGTTCCACAGAGCACAGGTCCTGTGATCCTGTGTGCTCACCTGGATGACAGTCTGGACTCTGTGGGCTGGGCTGGTGGGGGTCCTGCCAGATGCCTCCATGGTGCCTGCTTGGAGACGTCGGATGGTACCGGACACGGGCTGCCAGAGAAACAGAATGGCAGCACGAGTGACCACGCTGGGCATGGCCTTGATGTGTTTTTCCTGCACATCCCGGGCAGCAACCTGAGCACAAACCCTACCCATTCCAAACCAGCATTTGCCACCAAGAGGATTACTGTCCTGAGCTCCTGTCTTCATCATGTCAGCAGCTGCCTGAAGCCCGTGAGCATCCCTGCCTGCCAAGGCATGCATCCTCCCCAGGCACACATCCCCATCCACCCTGGGAGACCCATGCATGTGCCAGGCGTCAGGACAAGACAGTCCGGGAAGGAAAACTACACATGCACTCAGTTCTGGGAGCGTGGTGTTGGAAATGCATGCTTTAAACGCCAAGAGCTGTGAGCAGCCAGACCCCAGTGGCTGTCATTGGAAAAGCAGACACAAGCACAGGTTCTGGCTGTCCCCAGCAACACCTGGGCACCCCTGTCCATGCCACCAGTGCCCGGCTCTGGCACCCGGGCACATGCCTCTGCTCCCACACAGTCCAGCAGCAGCTCACAGTGCACATGCCCTGCTGAGTGTTTCATACCCCTGCCCATGTGGCCATGGCCTGTGGCCAGCAGGCAGGGCCACCACCCATGGAACGGCCATGCTGCCTCACATTCTCTGCGTGAGTGGGAGGCAACTCGAGGAGGAACAATTTCCGTCACCCGGCACTCACGCCATGTCGGGATGCTCCAAGGATCTAAATTTACCGTCTGCTGCTCCCCACGTCCCTCCCTTCCGCCCCGGACTAGTTGACTGAGGCTTAACCCTTCCCGGGCAGTGTGCATAGGAAGTGCTCCGTCCCCGTTAGGAGGCTCCGGTCCCGGGGCCGCCAGGAGGAGCCCCGGGCTCGGCTCTCGCCAGCATCAGCCAGCCCCTGGAGGGACCCCCCCGCCCGTCCAGCACTGGGCTCAGCTGCGGGGGCGAGTGAACGGCTATTACACACTGTGGAAAAAATGAAACGCTGGAAAACACCAGGCGTGGGATCCAGGACCTGGATGAAACCCGGGCGTCTCCTGCGACAGCGGGACTGGCCGCCCCACAGCAAGGGCTCCGTGGGGACCACAGCCACACTTCATGGGAGGGGGACAGCTCAGCTGGGGCAAGGGGGGGCGTAGAGATAAAGTACCCCGAGAGCAGTCCACGGGTGCTCGCCGGCTGCCGAGGCAGGATCCCTGCTCTCCCTCCTTACCTGCCACCTGGTCCGGGTGCCGAGCGGGACCCTCCGCGGCAGGGTGCCCATGTTCCCCAGGCACTGGGGTGCCGCACTGCCCAGCATCTGGAGACCCCGCGGCCCAGCCGAGCCCCTGCCCCGCACTTACACCTACGTCCCGTCACAATGCTCAGGAAGGAGGAAAAGCCAGGAGGGGCCAGGCTGCTGCAGAGGAAGGGAGCGGGGCCAGGGTGGGATCTTGTGCCGGTGTTAACTCCTTCCCAGCATGGTTGTGCTGGTGAGAGCCATGGAGGACCCCCATGCCGTCCACCTGGGGGATCGTCTCCGATTCTGCTGCCTGCTGCCCAAACTCTCCACCAACACCCCCACTCCACAAGCAGCCCCCCTGCCCATGAGCTGGAGGGTGACCCTGGCATCCCATCCCTTCCCAACGCCCCCAGTCCCACAACACTGCCCTCCAACAGAGCCCCTCACCTGTCCCGGCAGCACACAGGGAACCCCAGCCCGTCCTGCCGGGGATGCAGCCCCTCTCCAGCCGGCTCTGCTGTAGGAATGCGGGGCGGGAGCGTGGCCGCCCCAGCCGGCGCCCCACTGCTCGGCCGGACAAGGCGGCCTTTCTTCTCCCGCCGCCGCCTGCAGAACGCGCCGCTTGTTCCCTCCGTGGGAAGCGGTGGAGGCAGCAAATGCCAAGGGGTCGGGCTCGGTTACCACCGAACAGCCCACGGTCCTCGAGCACCCCACGCAGGGCTGCCTGCTCAGCCCCGGCCTCCTGGAAGACAAAAGCCCCTTTCTTCACCTGGCACGGCCAAAAGCCTCACCTGGGAGGATGCCCAGCACAGACATGCTGCCCCGGGGTGCTCCGGGGAGCCCCTGCATCCCACTGCCCACAGGCTGCAGTGCCTGCCTGCCCCAAGCCCACGTGGGCAGGGGGGCTCTGGGGGCCCACTCCTGTCTGACCTGCTGTTGCCCACCCAGACCCAAGCTGGGCACAGCGCATCCTGACTCACCCCACATGAGGTACCAGCAGACCCCAGAGCTGCAGTGTGTGCCACCGGGCAGGACACGGGCAGGGGCGTTCAGCCTGTGCTCATGAAGGAGCACGGACTGGCAGGCCATGCCATGCAGTATCAGCCACGCTGGGATGAAGCATGGCAGAGCCAGGCGCATGGCACCCCCTCGCACGGCCTCTCACCCCCACTTGTGGCTGGCTGGATGAGTCACAAGGAAGCCCGAGCGGCCGAGCTAAGGGGTGCACACGGCGGAGCATCCCAGCCTCCAGCCAACTTGGCTGCCTGCTTGCTCCCCATCTGCTAATGCGCTTCGGGTGCTCACCCCTTCCCACAGCCTCTGCCCTAGTAAACAACCGGCCCTTCCGCCGGCCGCTGGCAAGGGGGAGCCTGTCTCCTGCACAAAGGCAGAGGCGAGTGAGGAGCTGTTCCTGGCCTCTGCCTCCCGGTCTGGGGCCGACAACTGAGTGGGGGAGACCCAGGCAGCCCCATCCCACCCAGGCGAGGGACGGTGGGGGCTGCGTTGCGGTTGCTGGGACAACGCCATGATCCTGGCAATAACACCACCATAAATCAGCCACCAGACAGCTCCGGCGGGAGCTGAGGAATCCTGGCCACACCCGCTGATTTCATCGCTCCGGAGAAGGGCTCCTGCACCCCTGCAGCACAGCTGTGCTCCGGCCGAGGCCCACGCTCCGGGGTCTCCACGCAGTGGTGGATGCTCAGCCTGTGCTCGGGTCGGGGAGGGCGTGCAGCCCTGCCTCCTGCAGCCAGCACCCCCCGAGGGCGCTGAGGCACACAGACCCGACCACCGCTGCAGCCCCAGCACTGCCCCAGACATCACAGCACACACACAAGCTCCAGACCCCTCAGAAGACTGCACAATGGAGAGCTGCTCCTCAAAATGCTCTCATACCAAAATGACAATTTCTCACCTGCAGGCCAGAAGGAGCATCTGCAACCCACACTGACAACATCTTGGGGACCATGACACAGGATGGGCTTGATGGGTCTTGAACCCAACCCCTGGCACGAACCCATCACCCAGCCCTTTGTTAGCTGGCAAAGGGGTGGGGTGAACCTCACCTTTCCAAATCAGGCATTGATCACTCTCCTCTTTCTGGTTGCCAGCAAGGATCCCTTGCCATGCAATACTGTGGTTCCATCCCCCTGCATGCTGCCCTGCCCCTGCTGCCCCACACTTCTTCTGCATGACCACCTGACCCTTCCTCCTCTCAGCACAGCCAACAAACTCCAGCTCTCACCCAGCTAACCCACTCTTTTATAACACCCATCCTTAGTGGACATAGCTGTGCCCTATTAACGGCAGGGCCGTTCCTACTCTTTGGTAATTAGTACAGTTGCAACTCCTCAGGGGTGAGATTGCCTTCAGCACTATCTCTATTCTCCTGCAATCCATCCTCCCACATGTACCAACACACGGCACCACACAGCAAACTCAAATGTACCAGGAGTTATCAAAAAGTAGCCAGCCGTGTTGCCTTGCTAGTGCCCGCGGTGCTCAGCCAAGGGATCTGCCCCCTGCAGCCTCTGCCTGGTGCTCAGAGAGGGCTGGGGGCTTGCAGGTGGAGGAGTGGGACACTGGCCCTTCAGCACAGCAGCTGGACCTTCTGGGACAGCAGATTCCTCTGGCTTCCTGACAGCAGCTGAAGGGGCTGTGGCAGGAGTGTGGCAGGAAGCTGGAGTAAACAAGATGCAGCCATAGAGCAGGAAGGATCCAGCCAGACCAGTACTGTTCCCAGGCTCCCCAAGAGGTGTCAGACAGCAGTGGTGGCCGTGGGCCAAGCACCATCTCCTCCTGTGACTGCCCATGAGCTGCAGCAGGATTTGGGGACGGGAGAACCTTCCAACACCGAGCTGCTCTCAGGGCTCCCACACCAGCAAACCCACCACTGACGTGGACCACTGGATCCGGAACCAGCTCCCAGCCCACCCACACACCACCCAAACATTGTGCAATGATTGGTTTTATGGCTGACCGTGTTTTTCCTACTTCCCTGTCTGCAGCTCCTTCCTGCACCCCTCCCAAGGCACCCCAGGGAGCAGGGAGCCCCAGCATGTCCCACAGCCAGCCCCAACACAGGCCAAGGCAGCCGAGCTTGCTCTTGCCCCCACCACGTCCCACAGCACCAGGGACCCCTGGCGTTACAGGACACTGACCCAGCCCCACAGGCTCCCCAAGGGCAGCGGTGGCCTGGGGCACAAACTGGGGGGTGTCCGACCCCCTGGCAGCGGCTGCTCACCTCGCTCGCCCCGCCGCACAGCCCGTCCCGAGCTCCGCCGCCGCTCCACCGTCCGGCACTGCGGCCCCGCCGCGTCCCCGCCCAACGGGGCCGGCGCGGCCCGCCCCCGCCAGGGCTGACCGGTCCCGGCTCCCGAGGGACCTCACGACCCCCAGCCAGCTCCTTTAACAGTACTTTATTTGATTAAAGACTCAGAATTCTCTGTGTACACTGGAATGTGCTCTATTCCCTAGGCCAGGATCATACAGGGTTACAAAAAGTGGGGACCTCGGCTCGGTTTAAATATCACCCTCCAATGAATGTAAGGGGAAAAAAAAAAAGCTCCTTGGATGCTTGAACTAACTTTGACTCCATTTTAAAAATCATACAGACAAGCAGCTCTGGAACAGGACTGGGTTAATGGGATTCATTGCCTACTTTGCTAGGGGAGAGGGCTTGCCCTCTCAGGACAGGACCAGGGTTGATTTCCTCTCAGGTGCTGCCAGCAGAGGAGAGACCACAAACTTCTTTGGCAGAGGACCCCGGGGGCCCGTGACAGGCTGGCTGTCTCTCACAGAGCACAGTACACACACTTTTAGGGCCGTTGCCTTCCACCTGCACTGGGGTCCTCTGGCTGCAGAGGTGAGGTGTGCCCAGGGGCAGGTGACACTACAGGCCCCAGCCATGCAGGTGAGATGAGTTGTGAGGGGAGCACAGGTCTCTGAGATGAAGCAAGTAATGCTAGTGAGGCAGCAGTAGGAGAAATGGCTCGGATCAGCCCCCATATTACCTGGAAACCAGCATTTCCTTCTCCCACACCTGCCAGTGCTGAACCAACACTGGTTTGAGACAGGTCCTGACACGCAGGCCAAGTAAGTCAACCAGGCTCCACAGCTCCTTTCACCCAGGCAGGGAAAGCCCTCAGCCTCCCCAGATACCAAATGGCCTTGCAAAGGATACACAGCTGGTTCTAACCTAAATAAACTTCCTCCAAAGCCTGGCCTGAGAACAGCTGTGGAAGACAGGGAGGACACAGCCCCCTTTGGACACTCTCCCCACTGCAGCAGGAACCAGAGCACCTGGAGCTGAGCCACTGCCACACAGCAGAGCTGGAGGAAAGCAGTAACTGTGTGGGGCAAAAGGACTGAACCCCCGGGTCCCTCTTCCCACCCCGTGGCCCTGCCATGACCCCCCCACCTCGGAGGCCAAGGTGAACTTGCTCAGCTTCCACCAGATGGAAGGCTCAGGAGCAGCAGGTGGCCCCACGCACGAGAACCAGAGGCCAAGGAGAAATTAAAATGGCAGCACCAACAACGGAACAGCACGTGATGCTTCAGGAGAGAATGATGTCTGGTCGGCTCTGGGCTGTGCTCCCAGCATCTCGGGGTGGGGGGAGCATGTCCAAGTCAGGCTCTTTGCGGAGATCTTGCTTTTTTGCCAGTCGGTAAAAATCTGCCAAAGAAATTTGTGGCCTTTCCCCCCATGAGCACGTCACTTCTCTGCAAAAAATGTCTGTGGCCCCGGAACACTGTAGATGGCAGACAGAGCCACTCATCTTAGCAGAGGGGGCTGTGGCGTTCCCAACATTCAGAATAAACGTCGGCCTCGTTTTTTTTAAATTTAAAAATTTCTTCCGTTGTGCGTCACCAAGTCTGGCATTACAGGATTTCGTACTTGTCCACCAGGAAGGTGGTTTCAGTAGAAAACCTTACAGGGCTGTTCCCGTCTACCTGGGTCACTTTGGTAACCTGTGGAGACAACAGGCAACATTAGGTCAGCATTGAACATCACTCCCTTAGTGCAGCGATGCCATGCTTCTCAACACCATGATGGCCATGAGAGCACCACCAACCTGCTGCCCTTAAACCACAGCTCAGCCCTGAAACAAAGATCTTTGTTCCCAGGATCGCTGCGTGATTTTCTGTAGTAACTGTGTCTCGGCTGAGGAGCAAAGTGGCAGCCACTGGCTACACTTCAGAGGAGACAGACAGCTGTATGCCAAGCAGTGTCTTGGCTACAAGGCTGATGGATTTTCCACCAAAGTCTGAGGGGAATTAATGACTACTCAGAGACTTGAAGACACAAGCTCTATGAAGTGTCAGCTGCCAGTGCTGTCTGCTGGTACTCCCAAATCCAGCTGTCTCAGAGGCAGGTTAATGCCAACCCTTTAGCCATGGCCAGTGGGACAGCATGGTGCCCCTGCAGCACGGCCAGTGTCAGCCAGCCGGGGACAGAGGCAAGGGTGACATCCCACCTGTGAGGCATAAGCAGTGACCATACCTGTATGTTGCAATAGTTCTTTTTGGAGATGAAGGAGACCTGCACTGGGAAGAAGTCGTTTGGCTGCCCTGCTATGCTGAACTCCAGGCTACCGCTCTTGTTTTTGGCATCTATCACCGGCAGGCACCACTCAAGGAGGTTTCTCCGGCTGTCGTGGCGATACTCACCATCAATCTCCCCAATCACTGGGGCACCAACGCCAGACCTAGAGCAGGCAACGAGAAGTGACAATAACTTCCCTGCACAGAACTAAGGAAATGCCTCTAACACCCACTGGCTTGGCCAGATCCACAAAAGAGGGAGGGGAAGGAGGTGATGGGACTCTTTAGTGCTGCGTGACAAGGAGCATGACTTACGGCAGGGGGATGGTGATGATCACATCATTCAGCTCTAGGCTCTCCTCCTGCAACTCATATTCAATGTTAACATCACAACTGTTCCCACTCTCTGATGGCCAGCAGTTAACTGAGGAAACAGAGACAGTATGTGAACCATGCAGGCCTTTCATGTGGAATAGGCTTTCACAAGATGATGCACTTCAAAATGCCCAGTGAAGTCACCCTCAAGCTGACTTTAAGAAAAGCTTTCTATTTTCCTTGAGGTGTTACGGAAAACACAGAGGACAGGCACTATCCAACAGATACACATAGTATCTCCAAGGTCTCACAACATGCCAGGCTCCAGGCAGCCCAGCTGCTGCAAGGTGGCTACCAGCAGCTCAGGGACAATCACCAGTGTCTTCTGCCTAAGCCCCCAGACTTGCACTCACTTGTCAGTGGAATGAAGGACTCTTCTGTGGTCTGCAACCTCCACTTCAGCACACCCACATCGCTGTTAATAGGGAATGACTTCTCTGGGTTCTTCAAACCGATCTGTGACTCTGTAGTGAAGAGCTTCTTGTCCACGTTTGGGTGAGTCTGAAAGAGGAACACGTGCCCAGACTGTAGGTCTAAGCCCAGGGACAGAACCATAGGTAATGCAGGTTCTACCAGGACAGGCCTACACATTCCAGTGTTTGACAAAACACACATCAGGTTTCCTCCTGGCTCAGAAGCCCATCTGAAGCACAGCTGCTTATCAACCTGGGATTCCTTCCAGAAAATGCTAATCTGACAAGAAGGATCCCCACCACTGTCTTTCTCACAAGCACCTGCACCAGATACTCAAGCAATGCAGGCTGGTATCTACAGAATAACTGTAAGTCAAAGACCAGCCTGAATGTTTACAGCAGACATTTCAAGAAAAATCAATCTAATGCGGTTGGGAAAAACAGCCTGACAACGTAACACTACTGTCTCCCTTCAGCAACCTTAATGCACGTATGTGTCAGTGGCCAAACTCCATTTAAACACTCTCTTCCAACCTCAAGTGTGAGCAGCTTTTTAGAAGCAGAGGATTTTTGCAAGTCCCTGTTCAAGTTGCACTAGAAACACAGGGGTCAGCAAAGGGTTTGGTCTCATCTTGCACCTGAAGCACCACTCATGGGATGCACTGGAAGGAAGTGGGCTTGCAGACAGCCATGATGTGCAGACAAGTCCCTAACGAGGGGTGAGCCAGTGTGTCAAAGCAGCTCCACCTCCAGGGATCTGTAAGGTCACATGAGAGGGAGAAAGGGAAGGACCAATCTCCCAAGAACCTTCTGAGCTGCAGCTGCTGACTGCCATCAAGTGCTTCAGCAAGCATGCCAGGTACAGCAGTGACAGGACAAGCAACCTCAGACAGAAACAACTTCCAAGAGAATAAATTAATTCCCCATTGGCACAGGAAGTTTGTTATCTCATTTCCACTCCACAGCTGCAGCTGACACCACACAACAGGCACTGAGCAACACACCAGGCTGCTGCAAAGTCCAAGTGAGGTCACCTGGCAGGCCAAGGTGCACTGCTGGGCAGATAAGGCTCTGAGGGCAGGATGGCAACCAAGATTGCATTTCTCCAGTGAACTTCAATCCCTTGAGCATGACTGGCCCTGCACTTCTGCTAATACCTGCACTGACTACTCCCATTTCCAATGCATTTGCTGAGAATGCTTAGATGAGAACACAGGACAGAAACATATTTGAGTATTTCCATTATTTTCACCCTGGAAAGCAGCAAAAACATGTTCAACAGCATGAGACTCCAAACAGGCTTTACCTGTAGCTGCACTCCCCTCTTGTCTTCATTTTCTACATGCAGGCGAATCCGTGCAAACTTTTCATCAGAGATGTGCAGCATGATCATGCCATGAAGCTCCATGTTCTGCAACCCTCCGTCACGGCCACAAGTCAGGGAGATTTTCTCCTCTATTTTCATGTGCACGCTAGACAGACAGGAAAAATCTCAAGTCCTGCACTCTTGGCATCTCCCAGGAAACAGAGAGATCACTGCTCAGTAAGGACAGGCTGTGTGTACTGAGCAGGGGTTCCCAAACAGCACAGCTGGTGCAGTGGGGGCTAATACTGCTCTGGCAGTGACCTCAGGAGAAGCAGGATCTGTGCATATGGACTGCAAGGGATGGGAGCCCAGTTAAATGGCAGTGATGCAGCATCTTGACAAGCTGGTCACTCAAATCCCCTCTGACAGGCCGCAGAGCACAGCTCAGGGCATTGAAAGGCTCTCAACTGCTGCATGTAAAATGAGCCACGAATGCCTCCATCCTGAGCAGCAACAAGGCTGGGAAACAGGGAAAATGGTGCAGGGAAAAAAGCACAGGAAAATTCCCAACCTCAGCTCAACAACGGATGGACAGCTCATTTTAGTTAAGAGGATGCCTAACCAAACTAGCTATCTGCTTTTTTTCTGACATGCTTTCCCAGATTTTGCCCAACTGTTATAATTACAAGGTAAGAAAATAAAGGAAAAAGCCAAACAAGAGCAGGGAAGCTCTCTCCCAAGGCCACATGCAGGGACAGCTGTGAGGAGACTGCTTCCAAAGCAAGGGCAGCACTCACCTCTCCATGTTAATGGGAGAAGTGAGAACTTTGGCTGCTTCTGCAGAGCGCTTGCCTACAGAAGTCATGATATTTTCTCCTTCTGATTTCAGCTTGTCCACGAAGTTGTCCACCTCCTTCCCTTTAGCGCCGAGCTTCAAGGCTTTACTGGGACCTGAAGGCCTAAATAAAATGTGTAATAATCTCCAAGTCAGCTGACAGCAATGGGTTCTCCCTTCCCAGTTACCTTCAAATACTGTAATTTGACCATCCCAACAACACAGCATTCAACTCAGCAGTCTTTTTGGGGGAGAACATGCATGGAACTGATCATCTTATGTGCAGGGTGCCAAGTTATAATTTACATCCAGCTACAGTTCCATGAATTACCCGGAGCTGGGACCTCTTTTCCTCCCACAAAATGAAAGCCCATTGTTCATCCAAGAATCCAAAGAGACACAGGGTGTTACTGTGGTACGTGGCACAAATGCTCCCCAATACTCACACAGATGAGCAACTCATGTGAGACCCTCCGGGCCCGTGGTTTGGGCCAGCACTGACTCCAAGATGTGCCGCGCGCTGTCCCCCCTACCTGGCTGGAGCTGGTGCCACTTTGGGCTTCTCGGTCTCGATGATGGTCTCTGTGATCATTGCTGTCACGCCCCCCGACACGGCCGAGCTGCCGAAGCCCCCGAACCCTGGCGCCTTCTTGCCGTGTCTCTCTGCATCCCGCCTGGCCTGCTGCAGCTCCTTCGCTTTGCGGCGCATCTCGGCTTTGGCTTCGCGCTCCTGCGTCTGAAGGGAAACAGAAGAGGCTGTGGAGCTTTGCAACCTCAGCCCTGCCCTGCACAGGAACGAAGTGCAGCAGAAAAAAGAAACAAGACATGAGCATTTAGCCCTCAGAAAAGCTCAATAACTGCATGGCCCCGCCAAAGTGGAAGAACACCTCTTTATAGCAATAGTGGTATTTCTCAGACAGGGGACCCTGTGTCAGGACTGCAGGTGTCCCTGCTCACCTCTCTGACTGCCCGAAACACCTTTTCCTCATGTGAGTCCATCTCAGTGAAGGTCCGAATTTGTGCCAGATTTACATTCTCACGGTAGCCCAGGGCAACAATTTCATCAAAGGCAAAGATTAGGTCGAAGCAGTGTTCTGAGATCTCATTCTCTTCCAGAGCTCGACAATATTCAGGGATCTAGAAAAGGGAGAACATTTTAAAGGAGTACCCACAAACAGTTCCATGTAAACACCTTTCTACCATCCCAGGGGTCACAACTGTGCCAGACCCAGGCCCAGCACAACTTTACACTGCTCTTTGTACCATTATATTGTCAATAAACAAGATGAAGTTTTGCCACTGTTAGTTTTTCTACATCAAAATCCATATAGAACCTCTCAGCTTCCTCATAACACTAATTCAAAGGAACCCAACTGCATGCTAGGACCAGTGAATTTCCTGAAAATCCTTTGGCTGTGTGAAGACACAAACTTGCTGCTTCAGGATCCCTGCATAGCAGTGTTGCACTTGTAACAACCACACACTGTACAAAGAACATTTAATGCTAAATTGCAGTCAGCCCTTTGGTCTCACCAGGTGAAGCACAACTGATGGGTTTTTTTTTATGTGGAGTTCAAAACTACCACCAAAAGTTCAGAGCTTTCTGCCCAGTCAGGAAGGGAAGCTCTGGAACACAGACCTACCAAGTGGAGGCAGCAGTGCTCCTGCACCAGCTCAGAAACAGATCCCTCACAACAGCACCGTTCTGGGCTGTGCCACGGAGTGCAGAGTCCTTACCACTCTAGAGAAGAGTCGGAGTGTTTCCAGGTCCTCCAGGATGTTGCTGTTTTTGGTGGTAATCAGCACCATGTAGAGCTTCTCCATGGGCTGGTACACGTATCGCACGCTCTCTGTCTCCACAAACGTGTGCTGCTTCCCCGTGTTCATCAGCTTTGGGAACGCTGCCAGCAGCCCCTCGATGCGGGTGCGAGTCATCTCCACGAACTGCCGGGACACGATGGCCTTCCCTGCCTTCGTGCACACAGCAGCTGCCAACAGCACCTGCAGCAGAGCCGCCTGTGAGCAGGGCCTCCGGCGCCGAGCCCACCGAAAGCTTCTCTGCCCACCACCCTTCACCTGCACAGCCTCCCTTAAACAAGATCCCAAGTCCTGCTCTGTGACCAGGAAATGAACCATGTCAACAGCAGAGACATCTCTGCCTTTGCTCTCTCTCTCCGTTTCACATTCTGTCCCAACATAATCCTGAGAGCTCTCCCTGCTTCTGTCAGGCACATGATCGCTCCCGATTTCACACAGACCGAGGTGTACAGCCCCGGGAGCGTTAGGGAGGCTCCGGGTTATGGACTTTTCCATCCGGCTGCCCCAGCCTACAACCACACACAGGAAGGCCGTGAGATGTGCCGTGTCCCTGCAGTGCCAAAGGTGCAGCACAGCCAGGTTAAGGAAGCCCTGCCTGGACTCCCGGGCAGCTCGCAGGCCTTATCACACGCACAGGGCAGCAAGGCACTCACCAGCTGCACTTTCTCCATCTCCCAGTCTGCCCACACTTCCTCCCCATATTTCTCTCTCACAGATGTTAATTCCCTTTGTCAGGATAATTCTGTTCCGCGCTTCGAATCTTTTAAATCCGCAACTGCTCTTACTGACAGAAAGTATCAGAAACCCTGAAACGTGGCAGCGCCGATCCGTGCCGCACCTCGGGCACAGTTCAGCTCTGACGGAGCTGTGTGCGGGTCTGTGCCAACCCAAACGCCGCCGTGACGGACACAAGGAGCCGGAGCGGCGCTGAGACACGGGGTCCCGGGGGGAGCAGGCGGGCGCTCCAGCCCGCTCACACCTTACAGCCCGAACGCGCACTGGAGCGGCGTGAGGAGGCGCCGTGGCTCCGAGTCACCAGAGAAAAGCGCCGCGTCCCCGCCGCCCCCAAGGGCCCCGGCCCGACCCGGGGCGGCAGCGCCGCGCTCCGTCCCACCAGGCCGCGGGCTCCAGCGCCGGCCTGCGCTCAGGCCGGGCGGCCGGGGCGAGCCCAGGGCTGCCCCGGGGTGTGTCCCGAGCCCCGCGCTGCCCGCGGCGGACTGGTCCTTCCTTACCATAGCAGCGGCAGCGGCGGCGGGATCCGCGCTCGGGCCCTCCGCTCCCTCCGGTTCCCGGGCGGCCCCGCAAGATGGCGGCGCCGCGCCACGTCCGCACCCGGAACTGCCGTCACGGCGGGCGGGCGGGGCGGGACGGGACTACGGCGGGACACAACGGGACACAGCAGGACACGGGGCTACGGCGGGACACGGGGGCGCGGGCCGAGGTGGGACACGGAGTTACCGGGACACAACGGGACACAGCGGGACATAACGGGACACGGGGGCGCGGGCCGAGGTGGGACACGGGGCTACCGGGACACAACGGGACCCGGGACACAGCGGGACATAACGGGACATAACGGGACATGGGGGCGCGGGCCGAGGTGGGATACGGGACACAGCGGGACACAGCAGGACACAACGGGACACGGGGCTACCGGGATACAACGGGACACGGGGGCGCGGGCCGAGGCGGGGCACGGCGCACGGGGGCGGTGGATGCGCGGCCCGGGCCCCGCCGCCCCTGAGCTTGCCGTGGCCGCAGCCCCGGCCGGTGGAGAACCAGCCGTACGACGAGAGCCTGGAGCTGCCCGAGGCCGGCCCCGGGGCCCGCTCGCCGCGGGCGGGGGCCGCGGGCCGCCTGCGGGACTGCCGCGGGCCCGGCGGAGCCGAGCGTGGGAGCGGCGGCAGCCGAGGGAAGGGTGGCCGGCGAGCTCGGTGATGGCCCCTGAGACACGGCTCCCGCCCAGGAGGAGGCGCGGCTCCCCGGCCCAGCCACCTTCAGCGAGGATGACGACGAGGACGATGAGGACTCGGAGGAAGAGTCTTCGGAGAGCGACTCTGAGGAGGACTCGGAGGAGCAGGGGGCCGCGCCGGAGGGGTGAGCGCTGTTCCCGCAGCGGCCGGGCTCAGGCTCAGGCTGCCTCTCGGGCCCTGCCAGCTCCTCCGGTTTCCCCAGATCCCAGGAGGGTGAGAGAGTCGTGGGCATCGGAACAGGCAGCCCCTCGTCCCCGATGCTTCGGGGTGGTGGTGACTGTGAACCAGTCCCGGGCTTGTTTGCTGTGTCCAAGGTGTAAGCCAGGCCGGGCTGGCAGGAGAAATCCAGAAAAGGGAAGGACCTTCTCAAACATGTCACTCAGATCCCCATCATTCTTTTCCATCGTTTTCGGCTTCAAAGCTATTGCTGGCCCCCTAATTGCTGTCCTGTTGCTGCCTTTGTGCAGAGCACTTAGCCCCCTTTTCACAGCCCTGTGTGGGACTGTGTGATCTCAGATGTCCATCACTCAGGTGCTTTTCTTGGCAAGAAGATCCAAAGCAAAACGGGGCCCAATAATGCTTTCCCTGTGCTAGAAGTGTTTTCCAGAGAGCACTTACTGCCTGGTGGTTCAGCTTCCCACGTTTGCCTGCCCCAAGTGGGGCCTGGTTTCTGTTGTACAGAACTTGCCACATGCTAATCTCCCTCTACTCTTCCTTCTTTTAGTGACTTCAATCCAGCAGATTTTGACTACCTGCAAGTGTCTTCTGAAATCAAAGATCTCTTTGAATACATCAACAGGTGAGTGGAAGGGTTTCAGCCTGCTCTTGGCTCTCCTTTGTGTCAATTATTGCAGCACAGTTTCTAGTCACCTGTGCTGTGGTGCTGCTTTTTTCCAGGTACACTCCCAAAACCATAGAGATTGAGCACAAGCTGCAGCCTTTCATTCCAGACTTTATTCCTGCTGTTGGAGACATCGATGCCTTCCTAAAGGTACAGTTTCTTCAGGCTCCTCTCTCCATCCTGCCCACAAAGTGAAACAGATCTCAGAGCACGTAGGCAGCCAGGCCATGCAGCCTGGGGATCTGATAAACTGCACTGGTGGCTTGGTCACCTCCCAAACAGCGCCTGAGTAACTGGGGGAAAGCCTGGGTTTTCCTTCTCCAGCACCGTGTGCTTTTCAGGCAGCACTGTACTAGAATGCACATCTGAGGGAGCCCACAGGAAGCACCTGCCCTGGACCCACAGAAAACAGGCTCTGTTTCCCTGCAGGTTCCTCGTCCCGATGGCAAGCCTGACAACCTTGGCCTGCTGGTCCTGGATGAGCCCTCAACCAAGCAGTCAGATCCCACCGTGCTCTCCCTTTGGCTGACAGAGAACTCCAAGCAGCACAACATCACAGTGAGTCAGGGAGGGAGGTCACACCTGCTGCACATTTCCTGGAGTAAAACCATGGCATTTTACTCTTACAACTGAGAAGCTGGCTTTAAAAGCAGCAAAACCAGTCCTTTTGCTTTAATCCATAGTTTTAAACTGCAGTGGATCTGACCCTTGCTTCAGTCAAGTCTTGGTATGAACTCTGGGTCTGTTCACTTCAGGTGATGCTTTATTTCCTTTTGGCTGCTCATACCCAGTCGCAGTTGGCATTCTGCCTGCAGAAATCCATTGGTAAACTGCAGCTGGGAAAGAGAGAAGGCCTGGTTCACCAGAAGTGAATGCATCTTACCCAAAAAACACCATGAAACACTTCCAGGTTTATATTTGTGTTTTTAGCAGCAAATAAAAGTGAAGAGTTTGGAGAATGCAGAACAGAACCCTAAAGCCATTGAGAGCTGGATTGAAAGTATTAGTGAACTGCATCGCTGCAAGCCTCCTGCCACAGTCCATTACTCCAGGTGAGCCCTGATGTTGGCAGGGGAAAGTTGTGCGTGATCCTGAAGCTGATGTTCTAATCTTCCCTGGCAGGCCAATGCCTGACATTGAGACCCTGATGCAGGAATGGTCACCAGAATTCGAGGAGCTCCTGGGAAAGGTATTTACTGGGTGACCAGTATTTAGCTCAGCACTTGGTCTTAGAAACCACCTTGCATGAAAGCTGGGTGCCTGCTCCATCCCACAGCCCAGTCCTCTTGGGCTTGTTCCTCCTCACGACTCTGCCCTTGGCAGAGGTTGAGGAGCAGCCCAGCACTGGAATTCCCAGCTGCTGCCCCAGGGGCCTCTGTTTGCTCCCAGGCTCGTGCAGGAGCAGATCTGACAGCCCTGTGTGTTACAGGTGGGTCTGCCGAGCGCAGAGATGAGCTGCGACCTTGCCGAGTACATCGACATGATCTGCGGTGAGCTGGGGAAGGAGGCTGTGCTGTGACCCAGTGTGACACTGGCCTGGGGAAGGAGGCTGTGCTGTCACACAGTGTGACCCAGCTGGGGAAGGAGGCTGTGCTGTCACACAGTGTGACCCAGCTGGGGAAGGAGGCTGTGCTGTCACACAGTGTGACCCAGCTGGGGAAGGAGGCTGTGCTGTCACACAGTGTGACCCAGCTGGGGAAGGAGGCTGTGCTGTCACACAGTGTGACCCAGCTGGGGAAGGAGGCTGTGCTGTCACACAGTGTGACCCAGCTGGGGAAGGAGGCTGTGCTGTCACACAGTGTGACCCAGCTGGGGAAGGAGGCTGTGCTGTCACACAGTGTGACCCAGCTGGGGAAGGAGGCTGTGCTGTCACACAGTGTGACCCAGCTGGGGAAGGAGGCTGTGCTGTCACACAGTGTGACCCAGCTGGGGAAGGAGGCTGTGCTGTCACACAGTGTGACCCAGCTGGGGAAGGAGGCTGTGCTGTCACACAGTGTGACCCAGCTGGGGAAGGAGGCTGTGCTGTCACACAGTGTGACCCAGCTGGGGAAGGAGGCTGTGCTGTCACACAGTGTGACCCAGCTGGGGAAGGAGGCTGTGCTGTCACACAGTGTGACCCAGCTGGGGAAGGAGGCTGTGCTGTCACACAGTGTGACCCAGCTGGGGAAGGAGGCTGTGCTGTCACACAGTGTGACCCAGCTGGGGAAGGAGGCTGTGCTGTCACACAGTGTGACCCAGCTGGGGAAGGAGGCTGTGCTGTCACACAGTGTGACCCAGCTGGGGAAGGAGGCTGTGCTGTCACACAGTGTGACCCAGCTGGGGAAGGAGGCTGTGCTGTCACACAGTGTGACCCAGCTGGGGAAGGAGGCTGTGCTGTCACACAGTGTGACCCAGCTGGGGAAGGAGGCTGTGCTGTCACACAGTGTGACCCAGCTGGGGAAGGAGGCTGTGCTGTCACACAGTGTGACCCAGCTGGGGAAGGAGGCTGTGCTGTCACACAGTGTGACCCAGCTGGGGAAGGAGGCTGTGCTGTCACACAGTGTGACCCAGCTGGGGAAGGAGGCTGTGCTGTCACACAGTGTGACCCAGCTGGGGAAGGAGGCTGTGCTGTCACACAGTGTGACCCAGCTGGGGAAGGAGGCTGTGCTGTCACACAGTGTGACCCAGCTGGGGAAGGAGGCTGTGCTGTCACACAGTGTGACCCAGCTGGGGAAGGAGGCTGTGCTGTCACACAGTGTGACACTGGCCTGGCACTCTCACTGAAAGCGAGGGAGCCTTAGCTGCAGGCTCAGGCCTGAGCAGTCGGGATGATTCCCTGCTGCTTCAGTGGGAGGTGGGCTCTTGTACTGCAGGGGTCTGCAGTCTTTGGAGTGTGCAGCCCCAGGTGAGGTGGGCCGTGGGGAGCTCAGCCCCTCCTGACAGTGCTCTGTGTGGGGCAGGGCAGACCAGGTGCCCTCACCCGCTCTGATCTCACCCACAGCCATTCTGGACATCCCCGTGTACAAGAGCCGGATCCACCCTCTGCACGTGCTCTTCTCCCTCTTCTTGGAGTTCAAGAACTCGCAGGTATGCAGCTCCACCAGGTGCTGCTCACCCAGCTAGCAGCACTCACAGCTGCTCCCTTCACGTTTGGCTTTGTGATGGCAGCGGGAGTGTGCAAAGGACTGGTGGGCCCCAGAGAACACGTTCTCAGCTGATCCTCTCCCTGGTGCCTCTGCCTGACACAGGGAGCTAGGCTGCACTCTGGGCTGAGCTGCCCTATTGTTCAACAGGCCAGCACAAGCCAGAATGCATCTCCTTGGGCTGGCTGCTGAGCACACAACTCACGGTGTGGCCAGCACGTTCAGATGCGTGAGTGTGCTCTGAGCAGTGGGACTCAGATCTTTGCATGAGCAAAGGGGGACTCAGATCTTTGCATGCTCTTTTCCCTGCAGCACTTCAAGCCCCTGGCTGATGGGCAGAAGGGCAGGAGCCCACCATCCAACCCACCCTCACAAGCAGCGGAGGCAGAGGTGTTGAGCTTTAATTGATGCTTCACATTAAAGCCTCATCTCCTGGATCACTGTCTGCCACTGGACACTGAGGAGTACCCCAGAGCAGGTTGGGAGATATCACACAGCAAATCAGAAGCCTCTCTGATCTTAGAGACATTGCTGGGCTGTTCTGTCTTAAGGAAGTAGGGCTTGACTCATCATATTTGTTGCAGAAGCTGCTTAATGGTTCCATATTTTTAGAGCAGGTTGGGAGATATCACAAATATCAGAAGCCTCTCTCATCTTAGAGACATTGCTGGCCTGTTCTGTGTTAGGGAGTAGGGCTTGACTCATCATATTTGTTGCAGAAGCTGCTTAATGGTTCCATATTTTTGACTTGTTCCCAAGGAGTTCAGCATTAAACCAGCCTTTCCCAGTGTCAGGCTCTCTGTGCCACAGGTGCTGCAGAGCAGAGGCTCCTTGAGCACACACTATAAGGGCTGGAGCAAACAGGAATAAATTCCACAGACACAACACTCAGATCTGCTCAGGGTGTTGCAAGCTCTGACCTGGAGATCTTGAATCTCCTTTGCTCCTTATTATTGAACCCCCTTTCCTGTTGGGAACAGTCCCTTAGCTCCTGTCAAGCAGAAATAACCTGTGCTGCACCACAGAGATGATTGAATTCAGTTTATTGCTGTTGGGAGGGCTCTCCTCAGCCCCTGCTCCACTGGCCTCCCACCTGTCTGCCACAGCAGCAGGGACAGGGGCAAAGAGGATCATGCAGCAAGTCACAGATCTGCTGGAGCAAAGCTGGTGCTTGGCTTTGCCCCAAGAGGAATCGCAGTGCTGGAGCCTGGCTATAAACAGTTTTGATACATTTTGGTTATAACAGAATATCGGTGAAGTTCAGGGACTACATAAAACCATGCCTCGGCTGCCAGTGCAGCTCCCAAGCCCTGCACAGCACAGAGCTGGGGCTGGTCAGCTGCTGCTTCCCTTCACGGCCTTCCTGGCAGCCCCAGCTGCTCGGCCCCGGGGCTGGCACGTGCCTGGTGCCAGGCAGCCCTGGCCCAAGGGCACCACGCTGCAGCTCACAGCCAGATCTCGTCACTGCTCGTGCTGGGCACTTTGTAGATGCGCCCAGACATTGGGAGCTGGACAAAACCTGCAGGACAAAGAACTCATTGCCTGTTGGGGCAGCCATGGAGCTCCATGTCTTTCAGGGCTGCTTGCCCACCTTCTCCCCTTACCAAGCCTGCTGAGGACCAGGGAGTTTTCCACTCCCAGCAGGGCACGTTCTTCTCCCCTAGCACTGGCTCCTGCATCCTTGGGGGAAGCTGCAGGGAAGCAAAGGAATGAGAGCCAGGACATCTATCCCTCACCCAGCCAGGACCTGGGGCCCCACATGTCTTGCTGTACTGGCACATCAGGGTTTTACCTCCATCTTCCTGTGCAAGGTCACTGAGGCGCAGGTTGGGTGGCAGGGACTGGGTCTGGCGGGGCAGACGTGTGCCCTGGGGCTCTGGGGGCTCAGAGCTGCTGCAATGGGAGCACTGGCTGTTCCCTCCTGCTTGCCCTGGACCTCGCACGAGCTTGGGCAAGCGGCATGCCAGGCAGGCAGCACAGGAGCCCAGGCTGAGCAGGGCAGATAGGGCCAGGGCTGCTCCAATGGCAACACCCAGGACAGGCAGCTCCACACGGGCATCCAGCAGACCTGAACCGGCAGTGCAGACCCCTCAGCACCCTTCACGGAGCATTGCACCATGCCCACCCCTCAACAGTTACCTGTGGGCAGGAAGGAGGCAGTGGTGATGGGCACACTGTTGGCTGCACTGATGGAGAGGTTTCCAGCTGTGCAGCTGAGATGGATGTGGAGTGAGTGGTTGGCCAGCCCTGGGTAGCCTGTGGTACCCAGGAGGAGAAACTTGGAGGTGTTGGCCATCACATGCCCATCCTGGTCCACCCAGGTGGTGCTGGAAGTCGGGTTGGCTTGCACCAGCACAAAGAGCACCAGGAGAAGGCCAGCACCCTCAGCCTGCTGGTAGTGGGCACCTTCCTGCAGGATCTCTGGCTTATCTGGGTAAAAAACAGGCAGTGAGATGGGGAGGAGGGATGGGAACAACACGGCTCGAGCAGGATTTGTCTCGCCTGGGTCCAGGAGTTCTTGTCTACCTCGTTTGCGCAGGACTGACAAGATGCTGTCCTGCCATGGCTGTGATGGATGCAGGTGATGGTCCTGCCCGAGCTGGATGGGAGCCCCACATGCCCTCCCCACATCCCAGTCTGGAGCAGGCTGGCGCCGCGGACCTTACACTGCACATTGAGAAGGATGGAGGTGTTGTAGGTCTCACTGGAGGTCGGGAGGCTCAGGGAGCAGTTGAGCTGGTGGTCGGAGCGCTGGCCGGTGAGGGTGAGGATGCTGGCAGTGTCTGCAGTCGAGAGGTTGACTTCCTGTTTCTCACCGTTGAGGTACCAGGCCAGTGTGGCACCAGGGGCTGGCCGGGGAGCCCAGCAGGTGAAGGTACGACTCTCCCCCTCCTGCAGGGCGCACACTGTTCGCGGCTGCCTGCCACTGCTGGGGTCCAGTTCCTCCAGTGCTGCCAGAGAGCCCACCGCCCATCAGAGCTGTGGCAGGGGTCCTGCTCTGGGAGCCATGCACGGACCCCACCACAGCCTCACCTGCCAAGCAGAGCGCCAGGAGGCTGAGCAGCAGTAGCAGCAGGAGGGCAGGGGCAGCCCCCGGCCAGCCGCTGGGACTCCCCATGTTATATCAGCCGTGCTCAGCGCTAGGAGAGAGGCAGCTAGAGCAGGGACCTGGGGGCGTCCACCACGCTGGGCCCCAGCACACGGCAGGGTCAGAGGATGCGGCCCAGCTGCACCTTACCTGCAGCATTGCTGCTGCTGTGTCCAGTCTGCAGTGCGGCTCTGCGCCTGGCCCCGGCACGCAGGGGCGGGCCCAGCCCGGCTGCGAGCGCTCATCCATCCCTCCGGCCGGGCCGCGCCGCCGCCGCCCCCGGCGCGATCGCTGCGCGCCGCCGCGGGGTCGGTCCCGCCGCTTGCGAGAGCGGCCAGGGCTGCCCAGCCGGGACCGGGGATGCTCATCCCCGCTCCTCCCATCTCCCCTCCGCAAGGAGGAGGGCCCAGACTGGCTCCCGCCGCGCCGCCCATCTCACCGGGGCTGTGCCCGCTTGGGAATCGCACCACAACGCCTGCAGTGTCACAAGCAGAGCCCAGGCGCTGGGAACAGACGGAGCTTTATTCGGGGTGGAGCAGAGCGAGACAAACGCAGCAAGGTGCTTTGGTACTTTCCAGTCCCTGGCTGTTAGCCAGGAGGAGGAACGGGAGCTCTGGCACCTGAGGTGGACCTTTTCTGGCCACCAGGACAGGTCTGCCTGGGCCAGCTCAGGAGCACGGCCCTACCCAGCCCGCTCGCTGCCGGCCCATCTCCTGCCCGTCTCAGTCGCTTCCCGTTCCGCCGGGGTTGCGCAGCCGACCGAGCATCTCGCAGAGCATCTGGTTGCAGAGCGCGGAGTAGGGGTTGAGGAGCGCGAGCTGCTGCCGGGCGAAGGCGCTGCCCAGGCGCGCCGCGCGCTCCAGGTCCCGCCGCGCGTCCTCGTCCCGCGCCTGCAGCCGGCGGATGAGGCCGCGCTGCACGAAGCTCTGGCAGGCGGCCCGGCCGCGGCCCCGGCTCAGCCGTATGGCAGCGTCCAGGTCCCGCAGGGCACCTGGCAACGAGGGGAGGCATTGGTGGGGGCTGGGGGTTCCAGGAGACCAGCCGCACCCGCGCTGCTCACCTGCCACGTCTCCGCGCAGGCGGAGGGCCTGGGCCCGGTTGTTGTAGCCCGAGGCGCGCTCGGGCAGCAGGCGGATGGCCTCGCTGAAGCGCTCCAGGGCCGTGCTTATGTCTCCTGACTCAGCCGCAGAAACCCCCTGCAGCTCCAGCTCCCGGACTTGATCCAGCAGCTCCAAGGGAAAAGCTTCCACTGTTGCAGTGTAAACGGGAGACCGTGACTGGGAAGGGCAGGCACCAGGACGACCCACGGGGCCCAGTCCCACTGCCTCCCTAGTCCCTGTCCAGAAGGAGCAGACACAGGGCGGGGTGCTGATGTCCATCCCCACGCAGGCACTGCTCCCAGCCTGCAGAGCCTCCTTCCCTGCCCACCTGCTTGCCCTACGGGGCCCCTGCCGGCAACGCCAGCGAGAACCCGATGCAGCATCACTCACGTTCATCCTGGACATCCTCCTCCTCCTCATCCAACCCTGGGATATCCCCAAAAGGGGTGCTGGGGTTAAAGATGGTCTGCAGGACGGCCCTGTCGTTGGCCGTGGCCATGCTGCTGTGCCACTGAGGCCCGTGACCAGGCACAAGCAGGCTGCCACAGCCCAGTTAATGTTCACCCTGCCTCGTCCTATGGCAGCCTGGCCGGGGCCCCACCGCCTGGCCAGTGCCAGGGCCCAAGGTGACCCCTGAGCACACTCGGGAGCCGAGGGCTCCTCCCTGAACACCCCGTGCAGCCCCTGGTGCTGGCCAGGGGCTCCACGCCTTGTGAGTGTCCTGGACAAGTAGCAGCTTCTCAGTTCTCAAGAAGAAATGGAGAGAGCCCTCTGCAGCAATAAACTTGACATGTTTATTAATTAAACTATCACTTAAATAAAAAAAAGTGCATAGAAAATAAACATGTTTAAAAACTCCTTTTTTTTTTTTACAACTATGTACACTTTTTATTTTTACATTCAGTCTTTTGCAGAGCTTTCAGCATTTTTTTAAACTATTAAAGTATTTCCTTCTTCCCTGTGGCAGGGAGTTAACACTGATGTACTTTAGACACGTTTCCTCTTTTTTTAAAAAAACCCAAAAAATCAAAGCCAAATAAACCAAAAATAAAAAAAAAAAAACCAAAAAAAACAAACAACCAGTAGATTGGAAGAACACAAGAAAAAAAAAGTTTTGTTATACATGATAAGTTGTCAAGAAATGTATTTCTAGAACATAACCTTGCCTTTGCAGAGCTTTTTTTTTTTTGCCTTTTTTTTTTTTTTTTGAAACAATTATTCACCTACCTGTAGTTACTAAAGAGACTGTAAGTTCAATAAAAGAAACACCACAAGTATAGTTCTCGGCCGATAGACGAAGCTACTGTACCTTGTTAAAAAGATACCAGGAAAGCACAGAGCACATTTTTCCCTATATGTAGGTGGTACCCCAACATTCATAACCAAAACGAGAGGAAGGAAAGGAAGAAACCAAGTTGTACAAGTACTGACTGTAACAAGAAGGGCCAGGAAAGGCCAAACCACCCGCTCCCAGCTTCCGGCCCTGGCTGCCAGTGGGGAACGAGCAGCAAGGCTTTCCTGGAGCTGTGAGCAACTGTAACACAATCCTTATCTATAGTGTTAAAGAGAATTAAAAGCCATGAACCGATACTGAACTAGGCTTCATTACACGGTGCATTACTATATTAGTTCCTATATATATTGTATTTATAGCTATAAAAAAATTTGCAAGTGTTGAGAGTGGACCAGTGTATGGGTGAATGGCATGATTCTGCACAGACCGTCCTGCTGAAGAACTTGGTATTGCTTTGAAATGAAAGAAAACCAGAAAAAAAATATACCCAGCCCTTTGCAATGACCCGCTTCTCCTTTAAAAAAAACATGTCGGTTTGTACAAAAAAAACCCAAAAACGCCCTAAGGTTCCTTTTTTTAGTATTTTCAGATACCATGATCTGCGTCAGTCCTTATAAAATATACATTCAGACACGGGGAGCGGGGTGCTCCTGGGCAGCCCGGGCTGAGGGCGGGCAGGCTCAGCTGCCCCAGCCTGCTGCCCCGTGCCCACGAGCTCCCGGGTACAGACACTTCCACCGGCCACAGCGGCTCCTGCCAGGGCAGCCGCATCGGGAATAGCAGCAAAGCGGGCAGCCCGCTGGCTCGGCTGGTCCCGGCGGGAGGAGGCTGCCTGGCACTTGGATCCCGGGGCGCTCCCCTCGACCCTCCTTCCCAGCGCTCCCCACGTGGGGTGGCTCTGGGCAGCGCTTCCCAGTGGAACCTCCTCCTGCAGCCAGGAATCGGGAGGCGGCAGCAGCGCCGGGTGAGAAAGCGTAGCTGAGCTCTGGGATAGATTCAGGGGCTTCGCCACGGCGAGGGCTATGCCCCCGCCCCGCGTCAGAAACGGAAGGAAAAGGGCCAAGAGCAGCTGAGCTCCGGCCGCGGGGCCCAGATCCCCCGGGCGGGCACTCTCTGGGCTCCTCGAAGTATGTGCGTTCCCAAACTGTCAGTGCATCAAATCATCTCAGTAACAATGCAGCCTCAACGTGACTTCGCTTTCAACAGTTACCAACAAATTATCCTCACACAGTGCAATAACAAAAGGAAATCGGCAGGTTCTGAACCTCCGAGCGCTGCTTTTCCTTCTCAGGGCAGAGGAAGAAGCCTCAAGACCAGAGAGGCGTGGATGGGGGATGCCCCTCAGAGAGACCTGGGGAGTCAGCAGGCACTCCCGGTCCCTTCCCCACCAACTGCCAGCGCTGGTCCAGAGCAGCCCTTGGACACATCAGCTCCGGGAAGAGCGGCTCCTGTAACAACTGCACCAGGAAAGCCCGGAAAGCGAGGGCGCCTTCTGCTTTCCCTTCTGCACAGAAAAACCCGTCTGCCTCTGGAGGACAGACTGTGGCAGGAGGTGTGTGGCTCAGACTGGCCTCCCAGCAAAGAGGTATTGAGGGTCAGGGCTCATCCTGTCTTGCTTTTCCTTTTTAAATCCTTGCGGGATACCAGCACGGGCAAGGCAGAATCAAACTATCTGCCCGAGTCACACACTGTCCTCCCACAGAGCAAAGCTCATACCATGCTGGGCAGCTCTCCCTCCTGCCCCCATCCTTATGGGCAAATACAGTTTAAGGTCCAGTCAACCCTCCCGGAGACAGTTACTGAAGTCAAAAAGGCAGAACAAGAGTAGAAAACAAAACTAAAGCAACCCCCCCACTGGAGAAAGGCTCAGACTGTGTCCAGCCAGGTATTTCCTAGAACCATCCTATGAAAATAAAAAAATCATTAAAAAGAGATTCTCTTAAATTAGGATAATACCACTGTAAAAAGCCTCGTCATAAGTGCTTTCCCCTATGAAGTGCTTCTCATAGAAAAATATACAAAATATATTTACATTTATAAAACCTTAAATACTAAACTGTAAACAGAACAGAGCAGAATCCAATGTTGTCACTGTCAGGCTTGGGTCTCTCATTTGTCTCTCTCTGGTTTTGCTCTGAGGCACAGGGCAGACCCCATAGGAGGAGGACTCACACTGCTCCAGCCAGGACAGTGGTGTCCCTCACCCTGCTCAGCCTGGCCTGGTTCCTCACCCCCGTGCCTCCCGTGTTTCCTATGCGCGCCGGGACGCTGCGGGCGAGGCCAGCTGCCGCTTGGCCTTGCCTCTGCAGAGAACTTTGGCTCCGTTTTGGTGTCCTTGTGTCTTCTGGGGAACACGTCACACCTACACCCAGACGATGACCGTGACAGGCACCTGGCTGCAGGGCCACCCTCCTGCCTGCCCCCGCAGGCTGGGGCACTGGCACGGCAGAGCAGAGTGGGTGCCTCAGTGCCCCCCAGCTCCTGCCAAGGCCAGGGCTGGCTCACGCTCCCCTCCTCCCTCTAGAAACCCCTGTCCGGTTCCTCGAGACACCGCTGGCTGCACCAGGAGCTCGCTGGACAGAGGAGGAAGCCAGCTGCTGGAGACAGGACCCAGAGGACTACTTTCCTCCCACATGGCCACGGAGGGAGTGTTGGTGAACGGGAGCCTTTGCTGGCAAAGATTTACAGTGCCCCAACTGCTGGCACAAGCCCTCTTTGCCAAAGAATGCCAGGAGTTCCCCTGCTCTCAGGCACAGATTTCAGAGCAATATGCCAGCCAAACTCTTCTTGTGTCTAGTTGTGGGCTGCTCTTTTCTGCTCTCCTCACGAGCAGCCAAGCCAGCCCCCCGCGCACCTACTCGCACTCGCACGTCGTGTTCTGCACACTCGCAGTCCCCAGGGGCTGCTGCGAGGCACAGACCTTCTCCCCAGGAGGCAAGCTCAAATACTGACTACCCAACCACTGACTCAGCCCCAGGAAGGAGAGCTCTGGCCAGGAGACAGAGAGGGACACGACCCACAACTGCTGCCCTGTGCCTGG